GAGCCATGAGCTGGGGGAAAGCGGCCACAAAGGGGTCTTTCTGTAGCTTGCTGCTGCGCTTGTGTCTCTGACCTACATGCCTCCCTCCGCTGCATTTCTCAGCAGATTCTCAAACCCACAGACACAGACGGAAACATTGAACAAGTCAGGGATCTCTTCCCAGCAAGCCCCAACCAACAGACGAAAGATGAAGGGAAGGAAAAAGATCTCACACATCAGTGGGCATATCCGCTGCTTTCCATCTCCATGGCAACTTTCAAACTTTACTCTGTGGTCTGTCTACACCAAAAGTGCATTCACATTGACGAGACTTGCAGGTACAAAGAATCATAAACTCATTTGCTTTCAATGACAGTTGAAGTCACATGAGTTACAGAAACTGCTTATACAACGTGTATCAATCTACACGTGACTGGGTTGTTTTCTCCTTATATTTTATTTATTTTTATTGAACAGGAAAGTATAGAGCAGGCTTCCTTAAATCCGGTCCCGGAAAGCCACTGCCCTGCAGAGTTAGCTCAAACCCTGATCAAATTCAACTACCTGTGATTTGCTAGTGATCCCGAAGACTGATTAACTTCCTCAAGTGTGTTTGATCAGGGTTGGAGCTAAACTCTGCAGGGAATTGGCCCTCCGGGGCAAGATTTGAGGAACCATGGTATAGAGGATAAACAGGCAAGTACACGTTGGAGAGAGGGGAAAGGAATCGGCAAAGGACCTCGAACCGGGAATCGGAATCGGGTCTATGGAGTTGCAGTTGCGTTATATGTCGGAGCACTACCCACGAGACTACCGGCTCAAACGTGACTTTGACTGGTTTATTAAGTGAAATTATGTTTTATTAACAAAGTTCGGGTGGAAAACGTTCAAACGTTCAAACGTCGACGTCCCTCAGTCACCCTGACTCCTCACTCTCAGCTGGTTTCCTATACAAGCCAGGGATACGGGGCGATACTCTGGGTTTGGGCCAAAATACTAAGCTCAGAGCCCCTCCTCGGACAGCACGCCAAAGAGGCATAATCTTTACTCTATCTGATTATTTGTAAGTATGAACTTGTGAATTTGACAGTTTTATAAATTTTTTGCCATTCAATTATACCAGAATTTCAGAGTTAAAATTTAAAGAGTTTCACCCTCTACTGCAGACATTTGGATACATGATGCATAGTATTCCACATTGGGTCATTTGGGAACATTTTATTGATTTATTTATTATATTTTTTTTTTGTTGTTGCCAATGTTGTGAACATTATCATAATACAATGCTCAGAAAGAAAACCATGTCAAGAAATCATGAAGTAAAATGTGAAAAACACTTGACACACATTAATATATTTGATTTGATACAGACATAGGTTTGTATCATGTAGTGTGTCGTGTCATATCTTGTACATAATGTATCCTAATCATCCCCATATGCACTATATTGCAAAAAGTATTTGGACACCCTTCCAAATCATTGACCTCAGGCCTTCCGATCACTTCCATGGCCACAGTTGTAAAATCAAGCACCTAGGCATGAAGACTGCTTCTACAAACATTTGTGAAAGAATGGGTCACTCTCAGGAGCTCGGTGAATTCAAACGTGGTACTGTGCTATGTCCATTCATGAAATTTCCTCAATACTAAATATTAGTGGTATGTATTATGACAAAAGTGGAAGCAATTGGCTTTATGCCCAGCTGCACTACTTCCTGAACTTCAGCCAGCTCCTTGTTTCCTGTCTGCCATTATTGGCCAAATTGATTAATTCAGGTGTGCCTAATCAAGTTTGCCCAATAATGGCAGACAGGAAACAAGGAGCTGGCTGAAGTTCGGGAAGTAGTGGAGCTGGGCATAAAGCCCATTGGGAGCCATTAAGTGGTAGGCCACATAAAATCTTAGAACAGGGTCAGTGCATGCTGAGGCTCACAGTGCACAGAAGTCGCCATCTTTCAGCGAAATCAATAGCTACAAACCTCCAAACTTCACGTGGCCTTCAGATTAGCTCAAGAACAGTGCGTATAGAGCTTCATGGAATGGGTTTCCATGGCCAAACAGCTGTATCCAATCACCAAGTGCAATGTAAAGCTTCCGATGCAGTGGTGTAAAGCAAACCGCCACTGAACTCTAGTGCCTGACTGCATTGTGCCAAGTGTAGAGTTTGATGGAGGAGGGGTTATGGTGAGGGTTTTTTTTTTTTTCGGGTGTTGGGCTTTGTCCCTTAGTTCCAGTAAAAGGAATTCTTAATGATTCAGCATACCAAGAGGATTCAGACAATTTCATGCTATCAACTTTGTGGGAACAGTTTGTAGATGGCCCCTTCCTGTTCTAACATGATTTTGGCCAAGTCCTGACCTCAACCCGACAGAATCCCTTTGGGATGAATTAGAGCCATCTATCACTTTTTCTCCTCTCCACCAATAAGCTGGTGTGTGGTGGCGTTCTGGCGCAGTATGGCTGCTATCGCACCATCCAGGTGGATGCTGCACATTGGTGGTGGTTGAGGAGCCCCCCCCCCCCCCCCCCCCTCTATGGAAAGGGCTTTATAACTGTAACACAATATTATTATAATTAGATAATGAGAATAACCGTGTGAAACACCAAAAAGCAGTTCTCTTTGCTGTAAAACAGAGGCGTATGTTACACTTTTTGCAAATTACTTTGGGTGTTCCTGTGCACCCAGGAACCCTGCATCTTCCCTTCTTGTAACAGGCTATTTCCAATTGACCCTTTGCAGGGAGTTTGATTGACAGGCGATCTGACCAATCATAATCCGTCATCCACCGAATCCGCCATTTTTGTCAGACAAGGCAGTCAGGAGAGTTAGTGGATTAACATTGGAGAATTTCAACTTGAAAATTGGTGTGTATTGACGTCTTTCCGCAGTTAAAACAACATTTCTTCTTATGTTCATTCACGTTTAATTGATGCTATAAATTAACTAGAAGATAGAGTTGATTGGTTCACGAGCAGCTAGTGTTGCTTTCGTCAACGAAAATTATGACTAAATATCGTCATCAACATGACAAAAACGAGACAAGGAACGTAAATTCTTATGAATATGTCAACTACCCCATCCGTAACATTGTTTTTTCCCTCATTAATGCGAACAAAAAATATTTATTAAAAATAATATTTTATGTTCTATGGAGGCTCATCCGGTATAGACCAAGTATAAGTACAGACTGTTTGTGGAAAATTATCTAAGACTGAAACTGTCCCTAATTTAGCCTATACATCGCTGCATTATGTATGTAACGGAGGCCAGCTAGTAGTTGCTGTGCGGGTAAACCTCACTCCCCGATCTCAATAGGCGCTCTAGCGACAAATGCTAGAGGCTGCAGTCTTTAGCCTCCTTGTTAGAGCGCCTGACTCTCACGCCGGAGACCCTGGTTCGAGGCCAGCTCAGAGCGGGTCGAGTGGGACACTGTAAAAAATAATCGTAATTTTAACAGTAAAAGAATGTAAAATTACTATAGTGCAAAACTGTTAATTGGTTAACAGAAAGTTACCGTACTATATACGGTAAATAACTGTGATATAATTTTACTGTAAAATACCGTTAAATTTACAATTTTTGAATGTGAAAAAGAACAACTCCTTGTATAATTTACAGTGAAAAATCGTAAATTGACATTCCCACAATTCCCTGCATCACACTTCACATTTGATGTATTTTTATTGAAATAACTATGTTTCCTCATAATTTTCTTGTTTATTTTTTTTCTAATCAGTTATGTACATTAGGGTTTTATGTTACATTTAATGTTAATGTTTGTGTGAATGACACTGTGTAGCTTAGCTTCTTTATATAAGTATTCACCTTTTAATGGAAGACAACTTCTAATGAGCTTTGAATGCTCATGTAACTCTCATCATACTGCAATGATTGATGGTTGTCAGTGTATTACAATGGTACAAAACAGAAATCAATTTTTCAAAAGGTTAGTATACAGATTTCAGAAAATGAGATATGGTTTATTACTGTAAATTTTAAGTTAAGTCTGTAAAACCATTTACATTTCTATTGTATTTTTAACTGTAAAGTTCTGGAAACCACAGTTGCCGTTTTTTTTACCGTAAAAATAACAGTTTTATTTTTCACAGTGTAAGAACATCCAGGCACATCCCTCACATTGATTAAACTGATTAAACATTATTTTCAGCACATTTGTATCATATGTTGACTTTTGATGAGGTTTGTATCATATGTTTATGATTCTATTCACTATTCTCGACAAACAAAATGAAAATAAAATAAATAAATAAAAAACTTGTTAACAATTGGTGGTGTTTATGGGTGTTTATGGCTATTAAAAGTTTGGGAACCACTGCTGTAGAGGGATATGCTCATCTCTAATTCCATATGTTCCAGCTGCATGGAAGGAGGAAGCAGTTTCAACTCCCCTGCACAATCCTTAAATTGTTGCGTTAAAATTTTATCATCTCATCAATCAAACTTAAAGACAAGTTTAAGTATGTGTCACTGACATTGACCATGTACTGTAACAGATTGCATCAAGCTGGAGATGAATGAACACTGTCAACACATTCATTTTTCAGCTGCAATGACTGACATGCATGGTTTGACAAGCCAAGGCATATTATATGTATATGACAGGCAAGTGTTCACATAACACATACTGTATTACATTAGTATGGCACGAGGAATGTGCATGTTTCAATATGTCAAGATTTGAACCATCACTGAACTTACTAGACTATTTTCATCTAGAAACAAACTTGCATTATTTTCCTGTTATCACTGTAAAGTTGCTTTCCTAATCTGCTAATATATATTGTAAAACACACTATATAAATAAAGGTGACATGTCATAACATATTTTCTTAAATGAATGGCGTATTTTTAAAGCTGCATTGTATTTTACAAGGTCAGTGTTTAAATTATCATAATATTCCCAGTCTTGATCATATTTTAAGTGCAAAAATCTTATTTTATGAACACATTTCAACACAAAGCATTTATTGTTAAATAAAAAAAAGCTTTTTCTCTTTAAAAAACATTTTTTATTATTTCAACAATTTCGAAATAAGTTAAGAGTTTGACCTGTCTGAGACATTTAAAAAGAACAAGAAAGTAAAACATTTGACATCTCTGAGATATTCTCAGTTTCGAGAATGCGAAATAAGGCATATTTTACCTTGTTTTTACAGTAAAAAACAAACAACAACAACAACAAAAAACACCTTCAGCAAAACTTTGAAAATAAAAACTTAACCAGAATTCATTTAAAATCCTGTTGTTTCTTGTTGTGCAAACATACAAAATTATATGTATTTTGTTGACAGCATTTTCATAGTTTCATAGTCATGTAACCTTGTCATGTAACTTTACCTTCATATCTTTAAAAACACGGTTAACTGCTACATTGAAGAACTATTGAAGGCATGTTATTTCATTGTCAGTAACAGCTCTACAATCTAGATTATTTTACAGTAATCTAGAATATTTTACAGTCCGTGGCGCTCACCTTTCTTTGTACCAATTATCAATGAAAACTGAAATAAACAATTTGACCTTTGTATTTTATTCTACTGATGATAGGAAACTGACAGTGTACTTATTGCTGCCTTGAATGATGTTGGAATAATTGCATTTATGAGTATTGTTGATTTGCACACTCTTATTTTTTATTATAACCCAGACTTTGAGTTGGGGATGTGTCCGTTTAAGAATACTGGTGGAAGCTAATTAATATTTATCATAAAGTTAACTCCAAATATTGATGGTACAGTTAGTTTTGAAATTCACTGTAACGTGCTGTTGATGTAGAATAGCACTAGAAAATAAAAGTTTAAAAGGGTGACAGGCTTGTGCAATGTTTATGCAATTTTATTCTAATAAGAATGACTTAAATGCACATCTTAATGTAATTGCAATTTCCAAACTAATATGCTAACTTTCCAGGACTTGAAGACAGCTGTTATGAGCGCGTGCCAAAGCTAAACACCCCGAACTAAAACTCTTTAAATGAAGAGTTACTGAGCTCCCCTGAATTCTTTGTCAAAGTTATAATAGAAAAATTATGATCAAACATCTAAATGTAATTTTGAGTTCTGACCGATGAATGAAGTCTGCCGGAGTGAGTACTGTATGTGTTTGTGTGCACCCACTTTATTAAACTTCTGATGAACAGCATTTTCTCTTTCGACAGTAGTAAATGTTTCAAAAGACAGCAAACACAAACAGTCACTCAACACATAAACCAAGAATAAATCAGTGAAAACAAACAGCTGACACTACACAAACATATCAAGGCCAGTCAATTTCTAACTGCTAGAACTACGAGGGAGTCTAAGGATCTATGAAGGACACTGCTATGTAGCGTGTGCCGTTGGTCGTAGGTAGTCCTTCGTGAAGGTGAGTGAGTCTACCTGGATGCATGAAGCTCCAGCCTTTTCTAGGAGACTCTATGGAACAGTTATATCTGTGAAATCGGCAACCTCCACCCTGAAATAGAAGGAAATGCGTCAGTTTAACTACATGTGATTGAAGTATTTCAAATCGATTTTAGGAAAAGTAAGGCCAGTATATCACAAGCTTGCCTGGAAATCTAAGCCCTTGTTGTTGAGAGCAACATTAATAGTGAAAGTTGAGGAATCGTGATGTGGCCTCAGATAGGCTTGTCTGTTTGGAGTGTACTTCACCACAAAGTTCATAATCGCATAGCCCTGAAAGACATAAAAAGATAGGAGACACAATCAAAACCCAATACTCTAAAGCATCAGACAGATTTGCTTGATAACGATTTACTAAAAACGTTTTTGCGTTTTTCTCGTACATACGACAATGTTGTCAAAGCATTCTGTTCACATGATCTGCAAAACCAAAAAAAAAAAAATGCTGTATTCTACTGCCAGGCCAGTAGTTGGCGATGTCCTTTTGTAAAGACACATTACGTGCTTGTGGACGGAAAACGTAATACGCATGTGCCTGACATCACCATTTTCACAAATACGCGTTTTTTTGTAGTTTACACAGCGACAATAACAATATCGTTTTCAAATCTTGCTGTTTTCACGCCCCCAATACGCTGTTATTACGTTTAATTAAGTTTCCACCTTAATTTGTGCAGCTGTTTCTTCTATGGAGAAATTAAAAAAAAAAAAAAAAATAGTGGAGAAATTTTTCTATACAACAACAGATCATGTTAAAAGGACTCATATTATGAGGTCATCATATTATAAGAATATCCTGTAAGTTTCAGAACTGAAAACATCCTTGTTAGTCCAATAAAAGCTTTTTATTGACACCAGCCCCAGTAAACGACTCATTTTTCAAAGTGGGGAACTATGACGTCAAAGAGGATAAAACCCCGCAGAAGAAGATCAACGCCTACTTCAACACGGCCGGTTTAGCCACGCCCACTGATTCACACTTTACACGCATAGCTAAATAACACAGATGCGTACCTTGTAATGACAAACCGGATCGAGCTACCGAGCAATACAAAATATTGTGCAGTGCCTGGTTGTGGAAGAAGAAAGTCGCTGCATAAGCTTCCTCTGGATTCTAATAGGACTGCATGGATTTTTAATGACGTTCCTGCAGATTAGGGTAAAACATTAGCCATGTTTCCATCCACTTGTCAATCGAATTATCTAAAGTTCGGTAAAAAAACACACGCGAATAAAGCTGGTGAAAGTGTGTTTCCATCAAACGGCTTTAAAGCGAATAAAAACCTGTACGTAATGACGTCACATGCTGTTTTGCGATCAAATTGGTATATCGAATTGATTTGAGACATTTTAAGATGTTTCCATTCATTTTCGCACTGAATCGAACAACATTCAAGCAAACTTTTGCGAACAAAGTTTTGAAGACAAAACGGATTGCGCCATCTACCAACAAATTCACAAGTTGAAGCCTATTAATGCTTATGTGCCAGCTGATAGCGACATATGTATGGGATAATGTATACGAGGCGGTTGTTGAAGCGGTTGTATTCGCTATAACAACCGCCTCGCTATATGTTATCCTGCTTATTACATATAAATCAACCAAATAAATAAATAAATCAATTATTTGACACAAAATATTGACTTAAAAACGAGTTTATTGATTTAAAAACGAGTATTGCTTCTGCTAAAGAAAATAGTCTGTTCCGTCTCTGAGCTGCGTCCATGGCAACGGTGTGTTATAGCAACGCCGCAGTCTGTTAACCAGAAATAATAGACCACATTCTACATTAGAATTCAACCAAGCCACGTAAAAACAAGCAAAACTAACCTAAGAAAACAACGACGGTATAAACATTGCAATGATGATGCCGATGCCTGTGACTGTTGTGTGGGAACGACAGCGCTCCATCAGTTCTGGGAGATCGTGGTTCACGGAAACCCTTTGGTTGAAGCATTTTTTTTTGCTTTGTCCACTTACATCTGTCTTTGTTGACATCCGCCATGTGTGCGCAAACAGACTGGCCGGAAATGAACTCGTCTTCTGGCGTGTTGCAACCATAAAATGGCATAAAGCTTAATCGTAATTCATTATTTATTCGGCAAATAACGTTTCCATCAGCTTTTATCACATTAGCCGTATATCGATCAGGAGAAAATCCGATGAGACTTTCATTTGAGTCGATTTTCATGAAATTTAATCGAATTTTACTGTTTCCATAAGGCATTTTTCATTCGATATCACTTAATTCGGATAAAAAAGTGTCGATGGAAACATGGCTATTGTCCGTCTGTTCCCTTTCGAAGGGAACTCAACAATACGTCGAATGACGCAATGGGGAACGCCTCAGGCGTGACAGGTGTCTGAAATCAAATATCAACTCACAGTAATCAGGTTGACCGGCGACAGCCCGTGCATCATCAGCTTGAATGATGAGTGCGTCAATCTGGATGTATAAGAAGGGCGCCTTGAAACCGTGACAACATCTTTTCGTCTTCAGGGACTGTTTGTCTGTTTGATAGTATCAACGATTAAGCGCGCAGAGACGTGGAGAAACACTTTGCGCGAGTGTGCCGACTTGTGTCCAGATATTTGACACTGGAGGATTCACACGATCTGTGCGTGTTCTGCCTGAGAGAAGAGCATTCGCGGGAAGCTCTCGAGGGAGTTTTTTGCGCGAACTGAGAGTTTTCCTTTCAGAACTCTCTGCTCTCGTCTGACCCACTTCTCGAGGGAAGTGGGCGCGGCATCTGAACCCCGCGGTTCCGGTTCCCGCTCGGGCTGAGGCTCAGTGGTGGTTGAGCTCGTGGAGCTTTCAGACGGAGCTGGCAGATTATCGGGAGAGGGGCGTTAACCTCGCGGATGATCTACCAGCTGACGAGGGTAAGTTACAGATTAATGTTGAACATCTAAGAAGAGAGAAAATGAGCACTCTCTCTCTTTGGTGAATCTGTAACTGTTCTCTTCGGGCAGGGCAGGAGTTGGCTGTAATGTATATATATATATATATATATATATATATATATATAGAAAAGGATGTCAGTTTGGTTGAGACCGAACCATTTCAGCCCTCCTGCCCAGTGTACGCTGAGCTGGTTGACATTATGGGGCGCGCCACAGACAGATTGCAGTTGCAGTGGAGGCGCGTCTGGGAGGAACCCGCTCATGGTATTTTGGATGGCTGGTTCCTCCCCACCCATAAGCCACCAGCCCGGATGAGCCTTCCATTCCTTTCTGATCTCCACGCTGGGATTGAGAGGGTATGGAAGAATCCGTTCTCCTCACGTCTCTATCTGCATCAGCGGGCTAGTTTCGCTGCTGTGGAGGGAGCCGTGGAGCACGGATATGTGTCGATGCCGCCAGTGGACGAGACGTTGGCTAACTATCTCGTCTCTGGTTGGTCCTCTTCACTAAGAGCTCTGACCCTGTCATCCAAGCTGCTCAAGACATCTTCATGCTTGAATGACAGAGCGTACACGGCAGCAGGTCAGGCAGGTGCGGTTCTGCACGCCCTTGTGGTCCTCAGGCCTACCAGACTGATCTGCTGCGGGACTCCGGGCCACCAAGCAATCTGCTGTTCCGTCAGTGCTATGGTGGCCACGGAGAGACATCTGTGGGAGCTCCCACATACTGTGGTTGCCGGGTTACAGGCCTCACTAGGCCTTCCTGGTTATGAGCTCCCACTGATTGTGGTCGCCAGGTTACAGGCCTCACCAGGCCTTCCTGGTTATGAGCTCCCACATGCTGTGGTCGCTGGGTTACAGGCTTCACCAGGCCTTCCTGGTTATGAGCTCCCACATACTGTGGTCGCCAGGTTAAAGGCCTCACCAGGCCTTCCTGGTTATGAGCTCCCACACATTGTGGTCGCCAGGTTACAGGCCTCACCAGGCCTTCCTGGTTATGAGCTCCCACGTACTGTGGTCGCCAGGTTACAGGCCTCACCAGGCCTTCCTGGTTATGAGCTCCCACATGCTGTGGTCGCTGGGTTACAGGCTTCACCAGGCCTTCCTGGTTATGAGCTCCCATATACTGTGGTCGCCAGGTTACAAGCCTCACCAGGCCTTCCTGGTTATGAGCTCCCACATACTGTGGTCGCCAGGTTACAGGCCTCAATAGGCCTTCCTGGTTATGAGCTCCCACACATTGTGGTCGCTACGTTACAGGCCTCAAAGGGCCTTCCTGGTTATAGTTCCCACATACTGTGGTTGCCGGGTTACAGGCCTCACCAGGCCTTCCTGGTTATGAGCTCCCACTTATTGTGGTCGCCAGGTTACAGGCCTCACCAGGCCTTCCTGGTTATGAGCTCCCACTTATTGTGGTCGCCAGGTTACAGGCCTCACCAGGCCTTCCTGGTTGTGAGCTCCCACATGCTGTGGTCGCTGGGTTACAGGCTTCACCAGGCCTTCCTGGTTATGAGCTCCCACATACTGTGGTCACCAGGATACGAGCTCTCACATACTGTGGTCGCCAGGTTAAAGGCCTCACCAGGCCTTCCTGGTTATGAGCTCCCACACATTGTGGTCGCCAGGTTACAGGCCTCACCAGGCCTTCCTGGTTATGAGCTCCCACATACTGTGGTCGCCAGGTTACAGGCCTCACCAGGCCTTCCTGGTTATGAGCTCCCACACATTGTGGTCGCCAGGTTACAGGCTTCACCAGGCCTTCCTGGTTATGAGTTCCCACATACTGTGGTAGTCAGTTTACAGGCCTCACCCAGCCTTCCTGAATGTGGGCTCCCACATGCTGCGGTAGCCAGAATACAGCCTCACCACCTTTCCTGAGCACTTTGCTCCCACTCTGTGGTCACCAGGCTTCAGGCTTCATTGGCCTTCCTGGTTATGAGTTGTCACATATCAGGTTGCAGGCTTCACCAGGCCTTCCTGAATGTGAAACCCCCACTTTTCGTGGTCGCTAAGTTGTAGTGGTGAGTCTTCACATGTCAGGCTGCAGGCCTCAGCGGCCTTCCTGAATGTGAGCTCCCCATGCATTGGGACTATCGGGTGTTAGGCCTTGTCAGGCCTTCCTGATTATGGGTTCCCACTTGTTGTGGCTGCCAGGTTACAGGCCTCAAGTTCGGCCTTCCTGAATTCAGAGTGAAGTACACAAACCCATACTTCACCTATTATTGTGGTAAGTCACCCGACGAGATGTCTTGTGCACTTTTAAAATCCATTCCTTATGGTGAGGGTCACGCGCGGTATGCTTCGGTCCCTTCTTATGTGGCTCAGACCCCGGTCTTTCCTCGGGTCCCACTTTAAGAGTTCTTAAGAGCTAACTTCTCGAAGTAGCTCCCACTTGGTGTGGTTTTTCAGGTACACCAGGCTGGGTCTCCCTGACCTTCCTGAGTACGAGCTGCCACCGGATGTGGTCGCCAGGTTACAGGCCTTACCAGGCCTTCCTGGTCACGAGCTCCCACACACTGTGGTCGTCAGGTTACAGGCCTCACTAGGCCTTCCTGGTTATGAGCTCCCACATACTGTGGTCGCCAGGTTACGAGCTCCCGCATACTGTGGTCGCCAGGTTACAGGCCTTACCAGGCCTTCCTGGCCATGAGCTCCCACACACTGTGGTCGCCAGGTTACAGGCCTCAATGGGCCTTCCTGAATTCAGAGTGAAGTACACAAACCCATACTTCACCTATTATTGTGCTAAGTCACCCGACGAGATGTCTTGTGCACTTTTTAAAATCCATTTCTTATGGTGAGGGTCACGCGCAGTATGCTTCGGTCCCTTCTTATGTGGTTCAGACTCCGGTTCTTCACTTTGGGTCCCACTCTAGATGTGTCTTTGTCGCAATACATTACGACAGGCACTTCCCTTGTTCAAGCTATCTCCCACAACTGGTGGTTTTAGGTCTCATTAGACCTGTTTCGAGGTAGCCCCATATTGTGGGTCTGTCAGGTTTCTAGCCTCTGGCTTTCCTGAAGGATGAGCTTCCACATGCTGTGGTCGTTGGGTTTCAGGCCGCACAGTGTACGGCCTTCCTGACATGAGCCCTCATGTTTCAGAGCTCCCCACACAGGGGGTCATCAGGTCTTAGGTCTCATTGACCTTCCTGATTTTGATCCCTCTCTTACTTCCTCAGTGCTCAAAAGCGAGCACTGGGTGGAAACTCGTGGATTGAGTGTACGATTCCCGTTGTTTTGAGGTTGAGTCACACTCTCCGGAGGATCCCGTCTCTGTGATCCGAAACTTGATGGTTTCTGCCAGCTTCGCGGGCCTTCAGTTTTTGGATGCCTTTCCTAGGCAATTTCCAGAGGCTCTGTCTTGGACGGACAGGCTATGGCCAGACTGTGTGTCTTAGTACAGATCACCAGGCCAGCCTGGGGGCATTTCAGGAGGAGTGTTCTCCTGAATAGTGACTGGCTGGGGGTCCCTTTGGCCCCCTAGCCACACTCCCTAGAAGGGACCCCTTCTATTTTGAAGTTGTGGTCCTAAAGCCTTTGAGCTGGCCCCGATTTACCCACGTTATTACGTTCTGGTTTTCTTGGTTCATTAGCTTGGGCTATGACCGGTAGGGAGTGCTGTCACTGACAGCCCGATGTAACATAGGGTGAGTGGTTTCAGTGTTCCTTGGAATTACTGGTTCTGACAGTTGTCACTGCCTTTTCGGCATGCACTCCCCTCAGCATGGCGGAGTGGGTATTTCGTTCCCCATTGCGTCATTCGACGTATTGTTGAGTTCCCTTCGAAAGGGAACGTCTCAGGTTACGACTGTAACCTATGTTCCCTGAGAACAGGGAACGAGACAATACGTCTCGTTGCCATGCCTCGGGGCCTGCCTGCAACAGTCCCTTCAGACGATAGGATGTTGTCACGGTTTCAAGGCGCCCTTCTTATACATCCAGATTGACGCACTCATCATTCAAGCTGATGATGCACGGGCTGTCGCCGGTCAACCTGATTACTGTGAGTTGATATTTGATTTCAGACACCTGTCACGCCTGAGGCGTTCCCCATTGCGTCATTCGACGTATTGTCTCGTTCCCTGTTCTCAGGGAACATAGGTTACAGTCGTAACCTGAGACGTTCGCTTCATTTCACTGAGGATTGTTTTGTAAACAAGACTGGATTTGCAGACCAATTAAGAGTAAAGAACGGTGCTGTGCCGTCTATACTGGATCCAACAGGAATGGGCCAACACACGGACTCTGGGTCGAACATGTTTGGGAGAATCATTCCGGTTGCCATTTTACAACATTGGACGTTTTCAAAACAATTTCCCCCACGTGCATCGACGGGTGAGTTGAAACTCATTATAATATGCAAAACTGTTATCCACTCACAGCAGTGGGCGTTTACTTCCAGGTCTTCAGTGCGAGACGGCCATAAAAACCGAGCGTTTTTCAGCTAGGCTCAAAACTAGGGTAGAAATTTTTGATGTTTTTGAATGCAAAAACCAGCGAACGTAATAAATTGACCTCAGACAACAATATAATAAAATTTAAAAGCCAGTTCATGACCCATTTAATAGGGACTACTTGTATACCATACTTAAAAAAAAAAAACACAGCACAAGGGTTTGGACATTTTGGGTGATCTATCCCTTTAATGGATGACCTACAAAGAATTCAGACTCATGGTGCCAACTGGAGTTCACATTCCATAAGTCAAATCAACCAGAGACCTAATAACACTCGTCCGCTCAATAGTGCACAGAGCCTTCCCGAAAGAACAGCGAGAGAGGGAAAGCTGAAAATTACAGAGAGAAAAAGATGACTTGACTCATTCCATGAGTCACGTCAACCAAAGACCTAACAAAGCTCATCTAGCTAGCTGTGTTTTAGCTGGCTGCTGAAATAAGCCTTTGGAAATCATGCAGATGTGTAATGTACAAAAAAGATCCATGTGGCTGACAAAAAAAATTAAATAAAATGTTTAAATTGCTGAAATTAAAGAAAATGCCCTATTTATATCTAACAAGCAGCAGCTCAATTGTTGCATTAGAATGTGAAGTCATGAGTCAAATCATCTGGATTTAACAGATGAATTTCAAGAAGCCTGTCAAGTAAATGTTTACATAGGCTTGTAATATATTCTCTTAACCTCTATGGAAATTCTAGTGTGGAATTTAAAAGTACTGTGTGCGTTTAAAAAAAAAAAAAAATTAAACAAATTAAACAAATTTCCCCATCCTTACTGGTATAAGGATACAGCACAGAGCATGCCACTTGTGTTTGGTTTAAATTTGTAATTTCAAATAATAATACAGAAAAACCTTTATAAGTACAACATGCATTACTGTAATGACTGTAATAACTGTACATGCATTACTGTAATAACTGTAATAAAAACGTCACAACACACACACACACCAAAAATGTATGATCTTTTGTTTTTGTTTTTAATTGCCTAATTTAAATCTAAAAATCTATTTAAATCTATTTTTTATATATACAACTATTTTGACTTGGGTGAAAAATAACCATGTTTTTTCTATAAGCTTCACATATATTTTTTAATGGTATTTTTTTATATACTTTATGTAGACTATCATGCAGTTGTCATGTAAATATGTGTATGGCACCTTTGAGCAACTGCATACTGTCTGTGTGAATAAACATGCCATGTCAGACACACCTTTTTTCCACCTTCGATGACTTTTGTTGATTTGGGGAAACAGTCTATTCTGGTTAAAGTAACTGATTAAATAAAATATGATGACACAGATACATTTAAAAGGGTAATCATACAAAATACAAAATGAACAAAATGTCCCCTTAGTTGAAAAGTACATTTTTTGACACTGGTTTCAACCTAATAAACATAGGAAGACATAATGCCTTACAAAAAAAAAGTAGAGGTAGAAGAGACAATCTGATAAAACATATCCAGACCCACAGAGACTTGCTCACCTTGGTGTAATAGCCAGAGAAAACCTTGAGCGTGATGGGGGAGATGAATTCTCTGATAAAGTGCAGCCATTCCTTATCGAAATCGATCTGTCTCATATGAATGTCATCTGTCGGGACACTCTCATAGCCTCCAGTGATACGCTTGTCCTGCAAAGAGAAAACACAATGACTGGGCAAACCTTCAATGATAAAATCTGCACAATTGCAGAGGTGTGTAAAGTCTATTTCAAAGTTAATTTACACTGGGGAAAAATGTCCCAAATATGGATTAAATAGTAGATATGAAGAGTTCAGATGCAAAAGTGCCATTTGAAATTTTCTTCTAAAATTATCTTTTTTATCAAGCTTGTATATTTAAGTTCAGTAATTTCACTTAAATGGCAATGAAGATGACCTATTAATTGTCATTTAAGTGAAATTACTGAACTTAAATATACAAGTTTGATAAAAATGGTCATTTTAGAAGAAAATTTCAAATGGCATTTAGAGGCTTTTGCATCTGAACTCTTCATATTCACACATTTTCTTCTTTTCTTTTTTTTTGTATTTACACATTATTAAGTCATTTTCATTCAAGGGTGATCCCTGTACAAAGTGTGCAGACTGTTTTAAGGCCGGCGGGTTTATCTGACCTCGTGCCTTCCACCAGACCATGACCCAAACTTTTCCATCTCCTCCACCAGCTCATCGCAGGCTTTCTCCGAGAACACGGGGAACCAGAAAACATCTGGGCATGGCTGCAGAAAGATAAACAGGTGCTTAATATCATCGTTTTTGTTTAATAAAAGCACTAAAGTATGTAGTGATACTGCAGCTCACAGCCCACTCCACCAAGCACATTACTTAAATAAAAAAGATTCAAATTTCAGATTAAATCATGAGAATAATCTTTATGAGAATAGAATAATCCTCATGAGATCAACAATGAGCGTTTTAATATATGGCTGCTCACATTTACATATCCATCTGACAATCATAATGAAAGCAACTTATAGATAGAAGTGTGAAATGTACAGGTGCAAAAACAGCCAGTTTAGGGATCAAAGAGGTGGAAAATTGTTCTAAAAATCTAAATTACAATTATTTTTGGTGCACAAAGCTTGACTTACATTACATTTAGCAAACAACAAAAACTACAAAAGTGTAGAGGGTAATTTTTCTGCGTCCATTCTTTTTCCAAACTGCATTTTCTTCAACTCTAATCAAACATCTGGAAAAGCTAATCAAGACTGACTAATCAAGACCAGGCTGGAAATAACCTCTGCAGGTCAGTTGACCTTGAGGGCCTAACTTACCCAGCCATGCTATATATGGTTGCGGGAATGTTGGAGCTCATGTCTTTGGGTTCTCCAGTTTCCTCCACAATCCAGAGGAAACCCAAACCAACATGGGAAGAATTTACAAACTCCACACAGAAAGGCTGGGACTCAAACTAGCTTGGATGTTTTGACACTGTAAATCACTAGATCCTGCCATAAACTTTCTTATACCTGGGAATCTTGGAAACTGCTGGTTTGAATACTAACTTCTATGTATTTGGAGAAGTTGTCATCTAGTAACCACAGTGTTGTCGAACCACAAGGTTCGGTGCTTTGCCTTATCTTCTTCTCAATATACACAATCTTGTTTAGACTTGTCATTAATGCCATGGTTTATCCTAAGACCAGAAACTTCTCTATGCCATTCTTCTCTTTGGCAGCCCAAATCATGAGCTCAACCCAACAAACACAAAGCCTCTTGTCGTCAGTGTCGTATTTCAGCTAGGCCCATCATAGAAAACAACATCCAGGTCAGAGAAGAATTTGGAGAGTGTTTGAAGACCAGTTTAGCTTTACACACCATTGCAAACGCTGTCCAGACATGCAGATTTACACTTGTAGCCCCTCCAGTTCGAATCACCCACTCTAAGCGGGACTCGAACCCAGGCCCGTCCGCATGGGAGGTGGGTGTTCTAACAAGGAGGCTAAAGACTGCAGTCTCCAGAGTCAATTGCTAGAGCTCCTCTAGAGGTTCAGGAAGTGAGGTTTACACGCACAGCTCTTAGTGGCCTATGTCTGTTACACTAATCCCCCTAAACCTCACTCCCAAACGGGTCACGGCACCAATGTAGCCCCTCTAGTTCGAACTTGATCCACCGAATGGGAGGCGGGTGCTTTAAAGGGTACATATCATGCTTTTAAATCATTCATTTTTACATATAAATCATACATTTGTGGTCTATATAAAGCATAACTGCAATGCTTAGGTCTGAATTCCTCATTATTATAGCTCCACAGGCCCCTTTTCTAGTCCTTTTCTGATGTGCGTCTGTGAGCAACCCGTTTTGAAGTGGCCCCTTTAAATAAAAAGGAGATGTGTCATACCCCGCCCGTTCTCCAGGTCGCTGAGTTCACGGACGGTTCAGCTCCACCCCGTTCGGCCATTTTTGTAGTTTGATTAGAGATAAACGATTATATACTTCAAAGAACATTTTTATTCACACATTAACAAAATGTCAACAACGGAAGACTTGCCCATCAAGCCTTAAAAGACGACGACGAACCTGCAGAGCAACGTCTTCATATGGATGCAGAGCAGTGGTATGTAACTGTATTGTGTTATAAGTGAAAGTCGATTATTTCTCTTCTTAAAACAAGCACACTGACAAGATAAATGACAACGGTTTAATCTTACCACTAAAGATCTGTATTGATAATATGATAAGTTTAGAAAAACAACAGAACACAGCAGCTAAATGACCATTGATGAAACTCAAGAACAATAATACTGCAGATGTGTAACGTTACTTCAAAACAAAAACAAAGAAAGGCAAAGGTACTGCTAAACCATGACCACCATGTGTTTTAAGAAAGTAAAGTACTTTACGCTTATTAACAATATTTATAGCTTATCGAAATGCTCTGTTCGTCGCCTCCAAAGATAGAAGGAATTTACCTCTCTTTCAGACAAAGTCGATCGGCAAACCCTTCTTTAAACTGGCGAAGGTTGTTGAAGTGGGAATCCTTAAAGTGCTTCAGGTCACTACATCCAACAACCGAACATTTTGACTTTCCCTCTCCTAACTTCTGCATCATTGAGCTTGGACTACAAAATCGGAGCGAGAAATAATAATGGCGGATTGCTCGAAGTGTTGGGCCGGTAGTCAATGTCCTTATTTGGCAGTTCCGCTGCAAATACTGTGACGTAATTGTTCAAAAAACGTCATACAGAACAGAAAAATATGAACAGGTTGAAAAAATATGACCAAAACAGAATATAAAGATACAAACGAAGCACCTGAAGAGAATAATTTAATCTTTTCTGTACTTATAAACACTCCAAATATACAACAAAATGCATTTAAGGGCTAAAAAAGTGGATTTTGCATGATATGTCCCCTTTAACAATGAGGATAAAGACCACAGTCTCTAGGGTCAGTCACTAGAGCACCTATTGAGATTAGGGGAGTGAGGTTTAAACTGCATATGTGGTTCATTTGGTCTTCAAAAGGGTCTGTGCTCTATCACTACTTGCCTTGCTTCACTGATTGCCAATTGCTTCCCTCAAACTTCAAGGTACTGATGCTTGCCTATAGAACAACCACTGGCTACGCATCTGCCTCCTAATCACATCCACTGCAAATCTTCCCGATGAGTCTGGTCGATAAGAGAGTAAATAAAGTCTCTTTCCGGAATATTGAGTTTCACTGTGCATCCATGGTGGGATGATCTTTCCCACTCTACCCAAACAGCATCCACTAAATTAATAAATAGGCCTACCTGCTCCAAGACGTTGTCAGTAAAAATTCTAGTGTAGTTGGGATGGATGTATTTCTCTCTCCAGTCCTGTGTAAAAGAAAGAAAATTAGTACTTGGTCCATTCACTGACCTGCATTGCAAACATTGATAAGCTTCTCAGCATTCATTCGGCAGACAGACTAAAACTGAAATGGAGGTCAACACAGACTTATGTTTAACCTGTCAGCACTCCACTTCATTACTGATGACAAATGAACTGGGTTTTTGTAAAAAAACACTAACATCACTTACCAGAGGGTTTTCAAATATTTGCCAAAGGTCATTGTTATAACGGGATGTGTTATAGTTGGCAGTCGAAATAAGCCTTCCAAACTCATGACGATTTGTAATATACATGAAAACTCCCTGTAGCAGACAGAAAAAACGTAGTTAGACACTACAATTTATATTTATAATGAAAGAAGTCGAACATTCACAATTCACCAAAAAATTCGAAATAAGCAACAAACAAAACCCTAATAATTTAAAGTCAATGATAAAATAAATCACAAAAAAAGCATCATAATCTGTTATAAATAATGGAGGACAGATGTTGGGAACGGCTTTGAGAGGGAATGGAACGGGAACGCAGGGAAAAGTGCAACTCCAGGAATCGACATTCCTGTTTATTATACTACAAGCAGGGACAAGGTTTCTTGCAACTAAATGTGGGGAGATCCAGGCTTACTCTCAGTCTAGGTTTTTTGCACCAATCTCAAAAATATTAGCATAATTGTTGAATCCAATGCAAAAATACAAACATAGCAAGTGCTAAATAAGTACCTAGGCTGAGATAAGTCTTGGAGCTTGTGAGGGTAAGTTTCATGTTATTGGTATTGGTTTGCTTGGGAGGGTTGCTCTTGGATATAGAGGTCACTGCAGGGAAAACTATAATGCAGGATATCTATTAGATCCTTCATTGGCTTTTCCACCACTTAACCCCGAAGGTGTGTTTAATTGTATGGTTCTGTGTATATGTATATACATATATAATCTGGTGCTTTGTCCAGTTTGACCCCATCAAAAAGCAGAGGTAGCTTATCAAAACAATGGCGTCAATTTCCCAAAGGGTTCCACTGGTTAGCTCTCAGTGCAAGTATTCTAAAATGGTGTTATGTTTAAATCAAATGTTTGAATGCCTACTAGGACAGCACATAAAGACATGGAATAGAAAAATAAAAAATAAAAAACATATAACAACCCCACTAAGCATAAAATGGGGGTTTATGTTTTTTTGACCCGCATAGTAATTTAGCTCATCTGGTTTACACTTTCCTTTTGATTACATGTTATGTAATCTGACAACAATGCTTGTGATCTTGAGATTACCTCAAGCAAGCAAATACAAAATGTTAGTGGGCCTTTTACTTCCAAAAATATGCATTTGTTACTTCATTTAGTATGGCTGGAATATAACTTTCTTAACACTTGGAAAAGTGACGCATTGCTAACATTTGAATCTTAAAGGGATCCTCCACTTTTTTTTTGGAAATAGGCTCATTTTACAACTCCCCCAGAGTTAAACAGTTGAGTTTTACCGTTTTCGAATCCATTCAGCGGATTTTCTGATATTTAGAATTTCCACTTTCTGGTCTCATTGACTACCATAGTATATATTTTTTTCCTACTATGGAAGTCAATGAGACCAGAAACTGTCTGGTTACTGATATTCTTCTAAATATCAGAAAATTGGCTGAATTGATTCGAAAACGGTAAAACTCAACTGTTTAACTCTGAGGGAGTTGTAAAATGAGCCTATTTCCAAAAAAAAAAAAAAAGTGAAGTATCCCTTTAAATTATATAAAATAGAATAATCAAAACAAGAAGAACCTTTGGGGGTCTGAGCATATGGAATCTTTCCGGAGAAGGAGATTCTCTTTCTCTGTGTACTGTCTAAAACGAAGGAAAAGCACCATGTAAATTATATAATGAGACATAAACCGTGTGAGTAACAGAGAGAGATAAAGTAATTTGCATATTAGGGAAGAATGCCCTTTTAGGACAGTTGAGGTGCCTTTGTTTTAGTTGGCTGATTTTCAGTTTAGAAAAGAGCTGTGCACTGCCTTGCCTTAAAGTGTCCTAAGCATTAAACAGGAAGTATTTTAGTTAGAAAAACAGTCGAGTTAGTTAGTTAGTTAGTTAGTGGTGTAGGAGGTTTAAGGAGAGGCAAACACACACAGCCAGACATTCCCATTGCTTCAATGTCATGTTACTTGTGAAAAGGGGAGAGAGGAAAAGGATAATGAACACTTTGAATGCATCACAGATGCTACCATAAAAGGACAGAGAGGTCATGCCTTCACAGCAGCACATTGATATACTTCTTTGAATACTTGCCAGTTACATCTTGGTCACAGAAGTGCAGCAGATGTTTAAAAGCAATAAGAAATCAGGCTAAAATGTCATATGCAAACTAATACAGAACAATGCCTCTTTCAGAGGTTAAGCTTTTATTATCCACCTTCCTACATTCCACCCTTAGTCTAACTTAAATTCTATCGATAGAATCTGTAACATGCTGTCAGTTACCAAAGACAATGGGGACTGATCCCTCAGTTTGTAAAAAACAAAGATCTTATTAGCAGTAATGAATGTACAATGGAAATTTGTTGAGAAATTCTAGATGGATTAATTGGATAACTGGATTTAGCACTGGAATAACTAGTTACAGTGCTGGTCAGAAATATTTGCCACCTTGGTAAATATGATCAAAGATGGCTGTAAAAACAAAATCTGCATTGTTTATCCTTTTGATATTTAATTTTAAAAAAAAAGCTAAAAATCGAACCTCTTATTGAAGTAAAAACATTGAAAGGGGGGAAAATCACATTATGAAATACATATTTTTTTCCCTCCAAAACACAGTGGGAAACCATTGTTTACCCATTATAGGAGACGGTTGAGTCGTCTCCTATAATGCCTGAAGATATCGGAGACCATTCCTCCATACAGAATCTCTCCAGATCCTTCAGGTCCATGTTGGTGCTTCTTCTCTTCAGTTCAACCCACTCATATTCTATTGGGTTCAGGTCAGGAACTGGGATGGTCATTGCAAATGCTTGGTTTTGTGCTCAGTGACCCAGTTTTGTTTTGATTTTGATGTTGTTTTTGGACCACTGTCCTGTTGTAAGATCCAAACATGGCCCGTTATAAGATTTATGGTCAGATGAAACAAAAAAAGTGCTTTTTGAAGCAAACACTTAGTATGGGTTAGGTTCATACAGGGATAAAAAAAGTTTAATGAAATTGAAAAATGAAATGCTCTGCTGGATCATTAATGCTGTGGGCCTAATTATACTCTGCCAGAGGTCCTGGACATCTTGCTCAGATACATGGCATCATGGATTTGATCAAATACCAACAGATAACAAAAATCAAAACCTGACAGCCTGTGCTAGAAATCTTATCACGGGCCATGTTTGGAGCTTCCAAGAGGACAGTGATCCAAAAACAAACATCAAAATTAAAACAAAAATGAGCAAAAAACCAAGCATCTGCAATGGCTATCCCAGTCCCTGACCTGAACCCTATAGAAAATGAGTGGGCTGAACTCCAACATGGATCTGGGAATCTGAAGGATCTGTTTGGAGGAATGGTCTCTGAACTCTTGTCAGTTGCTCTCCAAACTCATCTGGCATTATAGACCATTTCACAAGATGTAAACACTGGTCCAGAAGCACTTCCTGTTTCAGTTTTTTAACACTACATAAAAGCTGGGATAAAATACAACCAACAGAACATTTAAAACTGAATCAAAAACGTTAAACAAACATCTTTAAGATGTTTTCTTTACATGTGAAATAAAGAAAACAGTTACAAACTGAAACAGGAAGTGTTTCTGGACCAGTGTTGTTTACATCTTGTGAAATGGTCTATAGGAGACCCAGACAGCAAACTGACATTGAATCAACGTGGAAACGACGTCTCTCATGACATTGAAACAACGTTGATTTGCTCATCGAATTAACGTTGAACCAACGTCAGACGCGGCATTCTTCAAAGCTAATGAAAATCGAAAATTGGTTGCTTTCATAACGTTGAAACAACGCGTTGATTTCAAGTTGATTTTCCGTTCCGTTCAAGTTGAATGACGCGTCTGACGTTGGTTCAACGTTAATTCGATGAGCAAAACAATGTCAGATCAACGTTGTTTCGATGTCATATTTCCACGTTGATTCAATGTCAGTTTGCTATCTGGGGACGACTCAGCGCTGTTATCGTGGAAAAGGGAGGTTGCAAAAAGTATTTAATAAAAGGGGGCAAATAATTATTCCCAATGTGTTTTGGAGAAAAACATTTATTTCATGATGTGATTTTCCCCACTGTATATGTTACTAACATAATGTATATGTTACTGTATATGTTACTAACATATTGAATATAAGAAGTAAACAGTGTAATGTAAAATCATTTATGTGTGTGTCATGTTTCCGTGACAACAGCCTCTAAATGTTCAAGATAAAACTTGAAATATTGGCAATAATTGGCACAGAAATGTTGGTTATAAATTATACCACTAAATAGTGTGCATTTTAACAGTTTTCCATTGTAAGTGCATTACTTTAAATAAAAAAAGTTGTTTTTTACGTTGTAATTAATTAAAAGCATGTCATTTATGCTGTTGATAGAGCTTAACATTAACCAACAGTTTCACAGACCAGGTTTAAGCTAGTTCGAGACTAAAATATAGCATTTTAATTAAATGAGAGTAACTTGTGCTGATATTTCTTAAAATATGTCAGTGCCATTGTTTTGTCACAAGATACACACCAGTAAAGTTTTTTTTTTTTTTTTTTCTAATACACATTTCTAAAAGCTAGTTAAATGCCCTAATTGATCTAAGGCCTAATCCTGGCTTAGTCTAAGCCCTGTCTGTGAAACCGGGCCTTTATATACTAAATGCAATATTAAATATACTGTATACTTTTGCATTAATTTTTGTATATTAATTGCACAGATACAAATTATATTAAATTGACATTGCATACCTAAATACTTGAAACTACAGACTATCATAAGATAAATTATAATAGTTGCTGATTACATTTGTATTATAATTGTACAGTTTATGTTCCAGTGGTCATACCAAGTCTCGGGCATTCCTGCACATGGCCATGTCAGGGTCCAGTCTCTCCAACACAAAGACATTTCTCCCTTTAAATTCATTCCTCAGAGTCTGGCCCTTAATGAGGTAGATGTGTGCCATGAAGGGGATGTTCCACACACCACTTTTTACACAAGAAAAGAAACAATATTTAAGTTATATATTCCACAAAAATATTAAGCTGTTTTCAACATTGACAACAATAACAAATGTTTCTTGAGCACAAAATCAGCATATTACACTGTTTTTTGAAGAGGCATGTGACACTGAAGTGATGTCTTGAAAACACTGACTGTGATGCTGAAAAATAGCTTTGCATCACAGAAATAAATTACATTTTAAAATGTATTAAAAACAGTTTTTTAAAAATTTGTAATAATGTGTCATAATATTACAGAATGTACTATGTTTTTATCAAATAAATGCTGCTTTCATGAACATAAGAGACTGTTAAAATCTGTAAAAAAAAAAATTGCAATGATTGCAATGATGAGCAAAAACAGCTTATAAGTCATACTGTGAAAAAAGCAGAAAGTTTTCTGTGACGGTTAGGTTTAAGGTATTAAATATACAGTTTCTACAGTATAAAAATCATTATGTCTGTAGAGTCCCCACAAAGATACTGAAATAAGTGTGTGTGTGTGTGCACAAGTAAATTATTTATTGGCCAATGTGAATAGAAACCATGTTTGGTATTAAATAGAATAGTCATATTTGTTAAAGAAGTGGTCTGGTCAGACACGCTAAAAAAGCAATCTGAGTTGTAATAGAGTTGTCTTTTTGATTCGGAGAAGGATGATTATGCGTTTTCTTAATTGTCTAATAAATGTATATATATACAATGACACTTTTGAATCACATTCTCTCAAGTCACTCACACACGCTTTCCTTGCACGATGTCAATGTAGTCCTCAGATCTTGCGTAATAACCATCTAGGCTCAGGGCACCCCAAAAGTTGGACCACAGTTTTCCGTGACGGGTGACAAGAGGGCCAATTATTTTTCTGAGGTGGAGAAAGATAAATGACACAAAAAAAATCAGCATCAACTCAAAAATGTACAATATCCTACAAAGAAGGCCTACAAGAAAATCTGATGCTGAAAGATGACAACAAAACAGGTGTAGATTTGATGTACTGAAATTTCAGATGACACTAAACCATATTGTTTTAACATAGCACAAGTAAGTGGTTAAAGGGATACTCCACTTTTTTTTGGAAATAGGCTCATTTTACCACACCCCCAGAGTTAAACAGTTGGGTTTTACCGTTTTCGAATCCATTCAGCCGATTTTTTGATATTTAGAAGAATATCAGTAACCAGACAGTTTCTGGTCTCATTGACTTCCATGGTATATATTTTTTTCCTACTATGGAAGTCAATGAGACCAGAAACTGTCTGGTCACTGACATTCTTCTAAATATCAGAAAATCGGCTGAATGGATTCGAAAACAGTAAAACCCAACTGTTTAACTCTGAGGGAGTGGTAAAATGAGCCTATTTCCAAAAAAAAAAAGTGGAGTATCCCTTTAAGATGATTCAAGTGAGAACATGTTTTTGTGTGAGGTTGAGAAGAGTGCATCCTTTTATTCCGGAACACAAAAGCAGTTTTATATGGTATTGTTTCTGTGACCCTGAAGTAACACAGTCAAGCCTTCACATCTAGTGTGACCTTAAACTCAACAAGCATACAGCATATCCCTTTATTGAGGTAAACATGTCATTCAAAACACATCAGTGGAAATTATAGTGTTGGTCAACGATGTGAAAGCAAGCAAGTAAAATTCCACGCTCACCAGTTACGATTTCACTCCAAAAGCCAGAGGCCAGCAGAGAGAGTTCCCAAGACCTCTCAAAATATCCAAAAAGGGCTTCCTCTATAGTCATGCGAAAGAGCGCTTAGGTTGTCACGTTAAATGTGACTGAGTTCAGGCTTGTTTTTTAGTTAGAGTCAAGTGCCATTTTAAGAGTTCATGCGATATAGAGCAGACTGTTCCTATGCGCCATGGGAAAACAGGAAGCCACCCATGCTTATTTTTAAAACGTTAGGGATTTGCATTCAGTCGGCTGTAATGTTCCTGTGGTTTTAGCACTTGAGGGATTCAAGTCCTTTCCCTCAGAGAAAGCGGTTACTGTGGAAGATTCCAGAGTATTGAAATGCTTGGCATCAAAGTGAAAGTACCTGTTTTGCTCAATGAGGAGTTTCAGGGTCTGTCGGTTGGTGAGCATCACATCTGCGTCAATGCTGAAGTAATAATCACAAGAAAGATCCTGTCGGCACAAATCCCTGTAAGAAAGCAATGAGGGTGTCCTTATTAATATTGGAAACATTCGGTGTAATGTTGATTCCCTCAACCTCTTTACACGAAACGAGCGGTTTGTGTGAGAAAACGAACAGTATTTGTGAGAAAACGAACAGCACTGGAAGTGATCTCTCGCGCATGTATGTCACTCATTGTTTACACAAAGATTTCGGAAGTGTTACCTTTCAATGTGAAGATCTAAACAGATTTAGATATACAGGAAATCGCAATGGAAGACGATTTCGAAATATCAACAGACAACGTTGATTTGTTTCGCAACCACGCAAGAGATCACTTCCGGCGCCCTCACATCACTCGGATGTGGCTGTGGTTACAAGAGGTAAAAACGATATAAATACTGTTCGTTTTCTCACACAAACCGCTCGTTTCGTGTCTTCAATGTGTACTTACATTTATGAGTCATTAAATCATGTTTAATCTGAACTTCTCTGTGCATGCTCTTTGAGGTGGTGACCATAGACTTGCATTACATGACTGACAGGGAAGAACGGGTTGACCTAAAAATATCAAAATTGAAACTACTGCGGAAACAAAGACACCTGCATCTTGGATGCCCTTGAGGTAAGCTAAAACATACCAAAAATTAATTTCTAAGTGGATTATCCCTTTAACTCTTTCCCTAACAGCATTTTTTAAATAAAGTTGCCAGCCACCACCAGCGTTTTGATCATTTTTACCAAAATTCCATGGCACTCAGAATATTTTTTTTTTGTTTGAATATCTGAACATGTAATATTTCAAAAGAAAGAACAGAGCATCTGCTTGAAAAGAAAATAATTAAATTCAATCTTTTTTTATCAACACTTGAATGTAGGTAGGTTTCATAAAAAAAAGCATCAATTTGAACACAAATCTGAGAAACCTTTTTTTCCCCCCAAAAGACTAAGCAATGCCTTTATCACTTGTTTCTGCTACTTTTTCGCCTGTGTTTTGATTCTGATATTCTGTACTATTCAAGAAGATGTGTAAAATCATGTCTAACAAATGACAGTGGAAAATTCCGTCAATGGCGGGGAGAGAGTTCATCTTGAAACTGTGATTCATTAGAAAGATTTAGGTCGTGTGTCCACCAAAGCGTTTTTTCCACGCGCCTGGCGTATGTTTTTAATTGTTTTCAATGGGAGGTCCGCGTTTTTAAAACACCATGAGCGTAACGAGACTTTTTTTTTTCATGCTGAAGCGCTGAGCGCCGTTTTTTACTGTTTTTTTTATAAAACGCAGCGCTCATCACTGTCACTTCTTACCCAGCCGTCCAATCACAATGGATGAGGGGCGGGACTAATACCACACCGACCAACTGTCACAACATTCTTTCTGTACAACAACATAAACCAGCAGAGCTAACCGAACAAAATGGATGAAAAATAAATGTTTTAATAAACGAAATCAGTTACAAGTAAACTGTTCTGCGGATATTCTGTATCATAGCAACGAAACGACTCAACAGAAAAAAAAACGCTGCGCTGCCAGAACGCTCCCAAGCGCCCAAAGCACGGCGTCTTCAGCAGAGCGTCCAAAAACGCTTTGGTGGACACACGGCCTTAGGAATGTAGTTTCAATATTTGACCACTATTTGTGATTAAAAAATGCTTATAGTGACACATTTCCTTATTTCTGTAAGGAGTGCAAAATCAACTTGTAAAATCAATCAGTAGTTTTAGATATTTCATATACAATAACAAGGCACATTCACATGTGCTCTGGTTTATTTGTGATCACAGGTCCGCTTCACAACATCCATTAGTGCTGTCATATGTTTACTTGATATTTCAGTAAGAAAGATTGAATTGATAGCATATGGAACGTTTTGTCATTCAGTCTTCTGGCTTTTAGATTGTCTCCGAATTTTGAAAAACTGCTCATATTTTGCCAAGTTACTAAAGTCAGAAGTCAGAGATCTGAAAATAAATGCAAACATTTCTCAACATATTCATCCAAAAGCAAATTGTATGAGCCCTTTTGCCCCACAGTACTTATAGAATTATAGAATAATCTGAGACAAAGTTGATCATTACATTAAGCAAATGACAATCCAAGTGTCTTTTAGTAATGTTCATTTGAGTATCATAGCATTCTGTTCAAATGTGAATATTTATTATTCCTCTATTCCTCTATGGCTCTGAAGCACAAAAGTAGGTGTCAGAAACAAACATATTTTTTTTAAAGTCTGCTCTGACGTCTTATGCAAACCAGCATTTTTCAAACCTACTAATTAAGACAAACAACGTGAGGGACATCACCATGGCAGCAGCCACTAATGCCAAACACAGACATGCAGTGAAAATAGCATCAGGACCAGCTAAGATAATCAACATATGTATTTACACATCCCATCGAGCAGTCCAATACATATTTGAGGGTATATGACTTCATACATTCACTAAAATGGATGTTATTGGGATTGTCTGTGCAGATTAATACGTGAAAATTAATACCTGAGTTGCAGGGTTTCCTGAATATGAATATAGTAGTGACACTTAAACAAGCAGCAATCATTACATTGGAACCAGCTGGTTAAACGATTAAAATAAGCTGCTGTCAAACGATTAAAATATTTAATCGCGATTAATCGCATTAATGTCATAGTTAAAGGTATAGCGGAGGATCTTTCCGAATTTTAGAGAAGACCCGCCCTCTCCAATTTTTTTTAAAAAAAATGCACATGCACAAACACAACACTCTTGCTCCCGAGAGCTAGGGAACGTCTATACGCCTTGCACAATTATGTTGCAAATTCTAAACTAACTAAAAAAAATTCATAAAAAAGACAACATGTCAAATGCCCTTCCGTGTTTTATTTACTTATTATAGCCTACTGATCAATTGAGTGACCGAGGACTCAAGACATGATATGTGCAACCCTGTATCACACGAAATACGTTCTGAGGAAACTATTTTGCAAATCGCAATTACGTTACATAGCAACATATAAGCAGTGCTATTACGTTGGTCCTTAACCTAATATCTCTCATTGTTAATACGTTATTTTTATACATAGGTGCATATGGAGAAGTAGCTTGTTGCATTTGTGTAATAATAAACACACAAGATTTTAGAATATTTCAGCGTGATACCATTTACCATTTTGGACAAAAGGCTACTTTAGACAAATTGAGATGTTTACCGTGTCTATGCGGTGCATGACTCGTGCCAGGGCTAGCATTGTAGCTTGCATTAACTTTTACTAGTGATTTTAAATGGATTTCTCCAAATAGCGTGACAAACTTTACCTGTCTGGTAGAATCTTCGCGACTGCGGCATCAGTGAGAAGCCCAACCACAGTGCTTTTAGCGCACGCCAGCGTGTGATATTCACCCAAAATCTCTCTGGTCTTGTTTCTATATTCTGCGGCCTTTCTCTTCTTATCATACACTTAGTAAACATTTTTTCTCTTTCGACCCTCAGCCATTTTCAAAGGAATGGCTGAAACCGCAACTCCGACATAATACACATGAAAGTGAAAACTACATAGGGATGAGCACGTAGCCTACGACGGCCTTACGTAAACATATCACCAGAATGATTGACACTTAGGTGGACCAATAGTATAGACTACCCACCCGGAAAAAGAAAATCCTCGGCTATACCTTTAACTCTCGATTAATCGCAATTAATCACACATTTTTATCCATTCTAAATGTCTCTTCATTCATTTTTTCTCATTGTAATCCTCATATCAACATGGAAAAGTGGATCGGCTTGCTTTGTGCAAATGTTTTTTTTATTGAAAATAACGTTGACATATACTGTGTTCAATTTCACACTAGAATTCTCACTTGGAGCAAATAATCTCTTACACAATGTAACACTGTCCATCAATAAAAGGGTGAAAGAAATACTGGCGAGGTCCTAATATTGATGAGGGGGCGGAGAATTCGCATCAGCTGTGTGTGTGTGTGTGTGTGTGTGTGCTTGGCCATCATCAAGCGGTATTTCAGACTGGATGTGCTGCGATGTTGCTAGCTCAGTTCACAACAACAAATCACACAGATCACTTTTGGTCTTGTCAATTGAACCATTTGTCCACTTTTTAAAAGTAAACTTTCCATTCAGAATCTTACTGGCATCCATTTCGGCGCATCGTGCTCGTCATCCACTCAAAACGTAACATTAACCAACTATTTGGCCGGCTCGCAAGCCCAAACGAGTGTGTGTGGTGTGCCTGTTGTTTTGTTTATGGTCTAGCTAGGTCCGCTTGCGCTAGTTTGCTAGGCCAAAAAGACCTATTATGACATTTATATTTTTATCAAGTGTGTTAATTTATTTTGGGGTCACTATATGAAAGCGATATAAGTCAAGTCAAGTCACATTTATTTATATAGCGCTTTTCACAATACAGATTGTCTCAAAGCAGCTTCACAGTGATAACATGAAAGTAGTACAACACAGATCGATAATATTGTTAAAAATTAAATTTAATATTAAAAGCAAGGCGACAGTGGCAAAAAACCAAAACTCCATCAGATTGGAGTTGAAAATATGAAAGCGATATAAGTAATGTAAGTGAATATGTACGAACAGATCTAAAGGGTTCTGGAGCCGAGCTGGGAATCTTGGAGACAGCGGTGCTAAACTGAGAGCAAATAGAAGGGTTCAAATGAGTGTGTTCTGTGTTTTGTTGGTACATTGCTATAGTAGGGGTAGATTGACTGCTTTGCGGCGAGTCGGAAGTTGTTCTTGCGTTTTTTTATTTGTAAAGAGCTGAAAGTGTGCTGACATGTGGCAAAGGTTTGTATTAATTTTTGATCAGGAGTTAGATCTTAAATTGGTTAGATTTGCATTGTAATTTACTTAGTTATTTGCATATTTTCAAGAGTCGCTCTTAAATTAAAGGGACGCTTACATTCCCATGTTCCTTGCTTCTCCTTGAGTTAAGCTCTCCTCAGGGCCAACAACCTTAAAACTGCGGAATACATCCTTGTTCTCTTCCCAAAACTTCTGTATGTGCTTCTCATGGTAAACCTCCTGAAGAACAAGACATGGAACAAGAACGGTCAAAGACAGACTCTAAAATCCAAAAGGTCAAATGCCTCGAATTGCTTTGTCAGCCAGACACTCACATTGTTATGAACAAAGACATTCAGTTTATCTTTGGGATAATCAAGATTTAGGATCCGTTCGAGGAACTCTGGCAGGAATGGAGTTGGCTGCTCGATGTACACACCAACAGTCACTTGTGGAAATTCCTATTTAGATAAAGAGAAAAGTCAGGTCAAAAATTAATACTTGTTCATGCAGTAGAGTTATTCACAATGTTTTCACTAAGGGTGGGTGGTATAACCACAAAATATCCCAGCAGGAGTCATTTTATTGCACAGTGATTGTGTATTGCAACATACATATTTTTTTCTGGAAAATGCAACTAAATATTGATTATTTTTTAAATAACTATGTTCCTCCAACCATTCTCCTTGGGCCGAAGGATGGATAGCAAATCCATCAAAGGGCTAACACACAGAGACATACTTAATAACCACGTGGTAATGTTTTTTTTTTTTAATAAACCAGTGAATTAAATAATTGAAAAACAAAAGATACTTATCTAATTTTATTATTTTGTCACTTTATTTCATAGATGCAAAAAAAAGTTTAGGTTATTAATAAAAAAATCACTGTCAAATAGAGCCAGACCGATATATCGGCAGGCCGATATTATCGGCCGATATTAGGCATTTTCCAAACTACCGGTATCGGCAGTTATAATGGCCTATAAATTAATATTTCAAAAATAAAATAAAAACGGACGAAACATACTTGAACCATGTCATGAGTGTTGGAGTTGTATAGTTTGTCCACCAGAGGGCACTCTACACAGTCCCTGTTGGCAACACTCGTTGAGTTGGTCACGAGACATACATTGCTTGAATAACAATTAAAAGAACATAAAAACAAGAAAAGTGACAGATTCTTGAAATATTATGATGATATTTTCACTGATGCATAAGGTTTCCTCTGTGTATGTCTTTTATTTTATTTATTTATTTTTCATTTTATTTATTTTATTATTTATTATTTATTTTATTTTTTTATTTTCATGTGTGAAGCTTTATATACTTGATATAACATGTCGGAGTTCTATGTGTTTTTGTGCTCTGTACTTGCTTGTTATTTGATACATATTCAATAAAAAAAAATAAAATAAAAAAAAATATATATAAAAGAACATCCCCATCAGTTCTCTTAACTCAAATAAGCATGACAAAAATTTGTGACTATCATGTCCAGTTTTGCTGCGGTTAAATAAGCCGAGAGTGAAGCGGAATTAGCTAGTAATAGTTACATTACGTTGTTACAGTGTAGTTGAGTGACTGTCCTTTAAACTTTTACAATGTGACTGAAGTATTTCTTTAATAGCGCGTGACAGTTATAGCAATGAGACGTATATCATCTCTCCTTGGCCTGTTATATTGAAAAAGTATGTTTTACAATTTGCAGTATGACGTAATCCATTGCTAAATTATGGCTCATCATAGACAAGCTAACCATAAAGCTAGCTAATGCCACTATCATCAGTCTGTTCTGTTGTGACAATAAAAGAAACAAGTTTCTTTTTAAAATGTATTATCATATTATTTTAGTTAAAACTCATAAATAACTACAAATAACTAATGTTAGGGAAATCTGTTAATGTTTTGTTGCACATTTCTGAAATAAAAAAAAAAATAAAAAAAAAATATCGGCCGATATATCGGAATATCGGATTTTAAAACCAAAAAATATTTTTATCGGTATCGGCCTTCAAAATCGGTCGGGCTCTAGTGCCAAAACAGTATCACATTATGTAGACTAACAATTAAATGAAAAACCCAAATATAACGGTCAATCAAACGGTAGTAAAATAGCTAATAGCCTATACCAAAACTGTGACCGTATCAGTTGAACTCTATAATGCCCCTAAATAAGATTTCTCTTATCCTGGCTTGTTTTCACTCTATTTGCACATTTCTATGTTCACATGTAAATAATGAAAAGCTGTCCTGTCCTACACACGTACTATGGTATAGCAAAATAATATACAGTGTTCCATCATACCATCCAGCCCTATTTCTCACATAGTAAGAAGCGCTGCTGGAGGTCTTAGAGAAAGTAAAGCTTCTTTCCCATGACATTGAGCTTAAGGTTACATGGATCGGTCACCACTACTTTTGTGGTTCTTGACCAGTCTACACAGCTCACTAGATGAAACGGGTGCTGAGTGGCACCATGTAATTTCCCAGTTCCGACCTTGGTCATGAGTTCCAGAAGGGAGTGTCCTAGAATCGAGCCAAAGGTCTTTAAATTGTTACCGACAGTAGAGCAGGGACTAAACAGGAGACACAGGGGATTCTGCGGAGTCTAGACCAGGACAGTTTCTTTTAAAAGGCCCTTTCAACCTCTGCATAAGCAGTGTGAGAATTTGAACTCTCGTCCCTTATTCAACAACCAGCCCAAAACCACTGAGCAGATGAGAGTGGTACGACCTTGCCACTTCCTCGACAAACAACAGACTTTGGGCTGGGCCTCATCTCATCAGCCTTTCCAGTGCTTTTTAACAATAAATCAAATGTATCTGATGGGTTAAAACTAGGCTTTTTGTTCCACTTGACCAGACAGCTGTCAATGATCAACCCGGTCTCATCCCAAGACATCATATAACTGACGTTTTGGGACGTCTTTTGACCATACGTCAATATTCGCCTTTTTAGGGCCCCCTTAAACGTCGGTAGATGAGGTTATGGGATCCTAACTCTACCCCATACCTAAACCTAACCCTAAACCTAACCCGTCACCTAAATGACGTTAAAGGTAAAGCGTCAGTTGTATGACGGCCCGGGATCGCCATCTACAAAGGCAGACATCCAAAAGTTTTGGGATGTCTGCCTTTACATACACATGAACTTTAAAGGAGTAGTTCACTTTAAAAAAAACACAAAAAAAACATTTGCGGATAATTTACTCACGTCCATGTCATTCTTTCTTCAGTCGAAAAGAAATTAAGGTTTTTGATTAAAACATTCCAGGATTTTTCTCCATATAATGCACTTTACTGGTAACCAAACGGTTCAAGGTCCAAAAGACAGTTTCAGTGCAAACTGCAAACTGTTCAAACGGTTTTAAACAATTCCAGACGATGAATAAGGGTCTTATCAAGCGAAACGATCGCTCATTAAAAAAAAAAAAAAAGTGTGATCTGTAATGCGCATTCGTGACTCTCCTGTTCGAACTTGTTTATCAAAATGAACGAATCTTTTTTCGTGTCATTTGGTTCATTCAACGAACGAAATGAACGAATTGACTCGGAAAAAGATTCGTTCATTTTCATTTTCGTTCATCGTTTCGCTTGATAAGACCCTTATTCATCGTCTGGAATCGTTTAAAGCCCTTTGAACAGTTTGCACTGAAACTGTCTTTTGGACCTTGAGCTGTTTGGTTCCCATTGAAGTCCATTATATGGAGAAAAATCCATTTCATCAAAAACCTTAATTTTCTTTTCAACTGAAGAAAGAAAGACAAGGACAGCTTGGATGACATGGGGGTGAGTAAATTATCAGCAAAAAGTTTTTTTTTTTTTTTTTTTTTAAAGTGAACTACTCCTTTAATGACATCCCATTCTTAATTCGTAGGTTCATTTTGAGTTTGCCCACCCTTTGCAGTTATAACAGCTTCAACTCTCCTGGGAAGGCTTTCCACAAGGTTTCGACCATTCTTCTAGAAGCACATTTGTGAGATCAGGCAGTGATGTTGGACGAGAAGTCTCCGTTCTACTATCGGGTTGAGGTCAGGACTCTGTGCAGGGCAGTCAAGTTCCTCCACACTAAACTCACTCATCCATGTCTTTATGAACCTTGCTTTGTGCACTGGTGCGCAGTCATGTTTGTACAGGACGGGGCCATCGCCAAACTCTTCCCACAAGGTTGGGAGCATGACATTGTCCAAAATATCTTGGAATTCTGAAGGAAAAAAACAACCCCACACCATAACTCCCCCTCCACCAAACTTTACCCTTTGCACAATGCAGTCAGGCAAGTACCGTTCTCCTGGCGAATATTCATTCATCAGATTGCCAGACAGAGAACACATCTCCACTGCTAGAGTCCAGTGGTGGTGCGCTTTACAACACTGCATCCGACGCTTTGCATTCCACTTGATGATGTAAGGCTTGGATGCAGCTGCTCGGCCATGGAAACCCATTTGATGAAGCTCTACACGCACTGTTTTTGAGCTAATCTGAAGGCCACATGAAGTGTGGAGGTCTGTGGCTATTTACTCTGCAGAAATATGGTGACTTCTTCTCTAAGATTTTACGTGGCCTACCACTTCTTGGCTGAGTTTCTGTTGTTCCCATTTTGTTATAATACCACTAACAGCTAACTGTGGAATATTTAGTAGTGAGGACATTTCCCTAATGCACAGGTGGCAACCTATCATGATACCATGCTTTTATTCACTGAGCTTCTGAGGGTGACTCCCATTGTATTTATTTTTCCATACTTTGGAAGTTACCCATACTCTTCAAAATATCATATTTTGTGTTCAACGAAAGAAAGACATTCATTCAGGTTTGGAACAACTTGAGGGTGAGTAAATGATGATTTTTATTTTATTTTATTTTTTGGTAATTTCATGTCGTTTACAAATGTTAATTGTTAGTTTGTTTGCTCAGGTCCATTAAATAATATTAACAGATACAACTTTAGATTTTAATAATGTATAAATAAAATGAATACATGCTATTTTTATTGTATGTTGGCTTATGTTACCAAATGGAACCTAAAGTGATACTACTCAAATGTACATGACAATGTAGAAAGATACATCTGTTCCTGATTCCATTTCATTGTGACTTTAATAATGTTCTAAAAACATTAGCAGTGTGATACGAAATGCTGATAAACAAAAAAGTTCAGCTCCAACACTGTGGTAAATTTTGCACAGGCAAGTACTACAAGCAGAATTAGTTATTTCTGAATCAGTAGCTCAAGCTTAATGTATAAAACTCAAAGTCCTTTTCGCCAACCTTAGCTGAACCCTACGACACATTTTCAGGACAACCGCTGTAAGTTGCCCTGTGGATAAAACCCCACATTGAGCTGCCCGCTAAAGAGAGGTCTGGTTGACAGCAACACCCCAGTAAGTGAAACCATTCTAAAACCAAAAGACATTTCGTGCACCACAGCAGTGTACAACTTCCTCTTCCTCAAGTGGCTCCTCATGGGCATTTATAATCTTTTTTTAGGAGTGTTAAAAAGAGACATAGGGTGCTTAGGATGCATGTTATTGAAACAGCTCAACATTTCCATGCCTCACTTTTTTTTATCTTAGGCTATCTCAAAGTGAAAACTGAAAAAAAAAAAACCTATTCACTTAATATATACAAACATATATTAATAGTGTTGGAAATGTTTCATTGTTTTAAATGGACGTTTTAGGACATAACTTTCTGGTGCTGAGAGGAAACGGAACAAAAAAAGCCACTGTGGTTTTCATTGGATGACTTACTTTAAGCTGAGACAAATCCACCATGTCTTGGTCACAGATGGTACAGCCTTGCTCATAGTTCCACACATTGGGGATGTAGTTGGCCAAGTAATTCAAGTATATCTGTGCGGGGAAAAAAGTCATTTTAGTTTAGTTATTCATTTTATAATACATTTTATTATATTAGAAAGGGATCACTTGCGCTTCAACTTAGTTTGTGCTCACGGAACAGGACATGAATCCAACCAAAAAACCCAAGGTCTAACTTGAGACCAAGGAGCAGAACCAGAGCACAGAGCGATTTAAATTATTTTATTAATAAAATGACTAATGTTTCGACGCTAGTCATTATATATATATATATATATATATATGGTCCAGATGATTTAAAGGAGTAGTTCACTTTAACTGGTAATTTACTCACCCCCATGTCATCCAAGATGTCCATGTCTTTCTTTCTTCAGTCGAAAAGAAATTAAGGTTTTTGATGAAAACATTCCAGGATTTTCTCCATATAATGGACTTCATTGGGAACCAAACGGTTCAAGGTCAAAATGAGAGTTTCAGTGCAGCTTCAAAGGGCTTTAAACGACACCAGTCGATGAATAAGGGTCTTATCTAGCGAAATGATATACCATTTCAAAAATAAATAAAAAACTTTAAGTTTTATAAAGCACAAATGCTCGCCTTGCTCTGTTCTGTGATGAGCGTTCGTAAATTTCCTGTTTAAACTCGTTCATCAAAATGAACAAATCTTTTTTTCGAGTCATGACTCTAAGGGATAAGACCCATTCATCGTCTGCTGTCGTTTAAAGCCCTTTGAAGCTGCAACCTTGAACCGTTTGGTTCCCAATGAAATCCATTATATAGAGAAAATTCTGGAATGTTTTCATCAAAAACCTTAATTTCTTTTCAACTGAAGAAAGAAAGACGTGGACATCTTGGATGACATGGGGGTGAGTAAATAATCAGCAAAAGTTTTTTTTTAAAAGTGAACTACTCCTTTAAGCTGCAGAATAGGAAATGTCCACCCATATAGTAGTAGTTAAATCCAATTTTGGTTAGGACAAAAACCCCAAAATGAATCCTGCTGTCAAATGTTCATGAACTACTGTAACTAGAACTGTAATTATTGCTGGACTGTTACTTTAGATGTATCACACAACACACATTAAAGAATGAGTTCTGTATCTCAGCTGGGAATTTACAAGACATCATGGCGGGGAGGGGGGGAGGGGGACTTCCATCTGGTGGTCATTTTGTATTTAAACAGTGTGATCAAGCAGATTAACTGTGTTAAAATGAATAATTTCCTAGTTCTTGTGTGCTGGCTTGTAGGGAAACGCCTCTTTATCTTAGTTTAGGATACTGAAATGAACTTCTTACCATAAACAGGTTGCCTCAAATTTAGCTGAAAGGGTAAACCTTAAATATTTATTTTTGATTGGTTCGATAAAGGCATGCATTTTCATGGGACCCACCCTCTGTGAAGCCCATGGGACCCCAGATCAAATATTTACAATGACAAACATTTATCACTGCTGTATATTTGTAACCCAGAAACAGAAGACTACTGTTATGAACATCAGAAGTACAGGAATCTCTCAAGAAACAACGACAACATGTTTCTATCTAAACGACTTGCCTTGCCAATATACAATTAGGAATTTGTTAAGAGATATCCCATCCTTAATTTAAAACTGTCCATAAAAATGGCCATATTCCTTGTTAATTTGTTCAGTGACAACTGGATACAGATTTTGGCAGGGCAACTGCCATGCTGTTTTCGATTACAGGAAGTTAGAATGTAATTTTAAGGAGGGGATCTTCAATTCAATCCAGCCTCAACCACATTAAAGATGGTATCCAGATGCAGTCCATTATTCGTCCCGTGTTTGATAGTTTTAGATCATTTAACATTTATCGTTGACTGCTAAGACAGACAACCCCCTGGAGAAACAGGTCATGACCTTTAGTGCTGTGAGGTCAATTGTTTAAACATTACTGCCAGAAAATAGATATTGCTCCCTGATTCCAAATGAAGAGAGGCTATAAACCAAGCCGCTGATGTCATGTTCTGGTTGTAAGCTACTGTGTATCCTTAAGCCTTGCTACTTTTATTGGACCTTGTTTTAGCATTTACGAGAACATCTGTATTCCCCAGGGCATGTTAAAGTCACTGGAGATTCAGAGAGATCATGAGGGACAGACAAGGATCAGCTTGAATGAATCAAAGAGCATAAGGGTGAGCTCTGGGTGGATGATTATTCATAAGAAACAGACCAGATGGTTGGATGTTAGAAGATCACTCCACATTGTGCTGTGTTTATTTAATCTGTCACTGAGGCGCAGACGGAAAAGCTCTACAGGCTTGAGATTACATTATCACCCAGGCATCCCGTTAAAATGTCAAACTCTACAGCAAGGCTGAGAGAGTTGGGCAATGACTGTAATAATCCAGCCAAAGGACCTAGTATTTAGTCACTAACTGTACAATTACAGTCAGGGGCATCATTTTGAAAATAACTCATGTAGTGTTGTACTGAAATATATTATCAGTTTCGATAAACATGAATGAATGTGGATGAAATATTGTTCTGTTTAAATCAAAGCAACTGCAGAAGGTGCGACTTGAATGGTCAGACAAATTTACACATGGCAAAACACTTGGGTTACCTAACCTACATGATCAATGACAATTAATAAGACATTTTGTTTTGGAAATGAATTTGAGTGACAGGTTTAATGACACTTCAAGTGCCAATTGAAAACCCTATTAAACCTACACTTTCAAGTCCTCAATATCTGTTAGAATCTGTGCATGAAGACATAACATTAAGCACACAGAAACTTTGGATCCAGGTCTGCTTTCTGCACTGTTTGCATTTTTCATTGACATTTACCTTGGTGTTCACATTTCCATGTATAACAGCTGGCAGACTGTTGTAGACGGTGTTCCTCACTCGCACTCGTTCTGTCCCAAACTTCAGGAGAACTTCATCTAAATAATAAAAAAAAAGGATTCATTCAGTAAGTCAATGGAGTGTGTTATTGCCCAGCAGGCAAAAATTGTAAGTCTGGGCACTGCGACTAGGCCCCCCGTCCACACTACTGCGTTTTCATTTCGTTTTTGGGTGGGAAATCCGTGTGCATATGTGTGTGCAAAAGTGTGTGAAATTCGATGTAGTATGCACTCCAGGCGGCTAGGTGGCGATGTGAAGCACTGCCACACAACAACACCAAGTCTGCGCGCCTGCGTACAACCTTCACTGTCAAGCAGACTTTTGCGTTTTTACCCTTTACACAGGAACACGGCAGTGGAGCGTTTTTAAGGAGCCCCTATCATAGCATTTGAAATGTTCCTATTTTTGTTTTAGGAGTTCCCAAAAACAGTTTAACGTGCATGCAAGGATAAAAAACACTTTATTTGTCTTATAATTTGCATTTATTTTTAACTGACTTGCTCAACGACTCCCAAATGATTCGTTCGACGATTCATTTTCCCAAACACCTCCTTTGAGTGACGCGAATCTGCGGCGATTGGTCAAATGACCCAGTCAGTTGTTATTGGTAAACCGTAGGCAGAGACTGTCGGCAATGGAACGCCCATAACCAGGATTATAGCTTGTCAAGTGTTGAAAATTGTATTTAGTGTTTGAACAAACGTGTCAGAAAAAGTGCACTTTCCACACGGTCCCTTACTCGCGTCTCCGTCAAGAGCCAGCTTTCCCGGCGAAACTCATATTGCGGTGGCTTTTGAGAGACAGTGCTTATTATATAGAGCGAAGTCATATTTGGCTAAGTCGTTTAGGAGGTGATTGCCATTTTTCAATGAATGTCTGGTGAATATCAAAAACAAAACTAACTTTACCCCGCTTAGAAGCTGCGCGGAGTGTACACAACACACACAACACAATATAACTATATCGTGCATGCTACAGAAAACATAGCAGCAAACATTATTAAGATTACTTACAGATTGTGATTCAGAGGAGGACAAACCTGATCCATATACACTGGATACTGAGCCCTCCTTCAGGAACAACTGGCTTGCGAATCCACATTTGAATTAATTTATGTTTTTGAATGATTCGTCATTAAAATGATGAGAACACAAGGTTCGGGCGTTGCAAATATGAACTCTAACCACTGATTCTTCACATGCTCGTCCCTGGACATTGAAAACAAGTGGCTGAACTGTCTTTGCAATATAGAACACAGCGTCTTCTCGACATGATGCGATTCAGCTGAAGTATTTGAATGTGTTCTAGACGTCATTTCAAGTCTGCGCGCGCAGTTGTTGGGAGCGGCAAATGTCCTATCTACGTCACGACGTAACAGCTAATGACTCGTTTCAAAAACAATTCATTTCATAGACTCAGAGTCGACTCTCACTTTTGAAAGACAATAACTTTATATACGGTGCACTTTCAGATATAAATCTTTGAAGGATTTTTTCATTCCCTGAGAGCTATATTCCACACTACATGAACAGTCATTTTCAAAAATCCATGATAGGTGCTCTTTAAGATTTCCACTTTGAAGGGTGTTCACTTTTTAGTGTTTTTAAGCCCCCAAAACGCCGTTGCCATGTAAACGAAAGGCGCATCCGATAAAATATTTTTACATTATCACCCGCGAGCGTTCTTGTGTAAACAGGGACAAAACAGAGAACTTTAGAAATGATAACGCAGAGGCTCACGCTCGGCTCTATGATTGGGTGTCATCAGTCATGACGTGTCCTTCTCTGATTCGTCAGCCACCCATCACATGTCAATCCGTTTCCTGTTTACACCGGCACACGCATGCCCAGTGTTGTTGAACGGTCACGTGATCCGCTTGGAGATCATTGGAGATCAATTCTAATACGCAGATAAAACAATGGCGTGGACGGAGATCGTATTCGTTTTAATTCTCCGTTTTTTTGTTTTTTTAAATAAAACGCAGTAGTGTGGACGGGGCCTAGATGTTGTACACCTCTTCTCAAGTAGGCCACATAATTTAAAAGGGTTAGTTCACCCAAAAATGAAAATTAAGTCATTAATTACTCACCCCCATGCTGTACCAACCCCGTAAGACCTTCGTTCATCTTCGGAACACAAATTAAGATATTTTTGATTAAATTTGAGAGCTGGATCACTGCTACATAGGCACCCTAAGGGATTGAAACTTGACGGCCCAGAAAGTCAGAGAATATTTAAATATTCGACTGTAATATTCCCTTTCTTCCTTGTAGGCCTGAGACGAGAGTTCAAGAGATTTCCACGATGCATGCGCGATAATTGTGTTCTTATTCTACTACTCCTTGCACAATTCTCGCGCATGCGTCATGGAAATCTCTTGAACTCTCGTCTCAGGCCTACAAGGAAGAAAAGGAATAGTCGAATAAAACAAAAAGTATTCTCGTTGCTTGATAAACTTATACTTGAGCCACTGTAGTCACATGGGATATTTAAACATTTTCTTCAATGACTTTCTGGGCCGTCAAGTATCAATCCCTTAGGGTGTCTATTTAGCAGTGACCCACCTCTCAAATTGAATCAAAAATATCTTCATTTGTGTTCCGAAGATGAACGAAGGTCTTACGTGTTTGGTACAGCATGGGGGTGAGTATTTAATGACTTAATTTTCATTTTTTGGTGAACTACCCCTTTAAGGTGTAGAACAAAATGTGTGAGTGCTTTCGCACTGGCAGTTTCACAAGTTCACACTTACAAATAATCAGATCAGAGTAAAGGTTTAGGTTTAGGCGTATTTGGTGTGCTGTCGAACCCAGAGGAACCCAGTTCCATCAAACTTTGGCAACCCTTTATTCACCACTATAATGTAATATATGAAAAAACAAAGAAAAAAATAGCAAGTTTTAAGCAACATTGGGTTGACTCACCCACTGCTCCATTCAAATTTTGGAAAATCTCGCACTTATGGTCCAAGGTCATATTAAGCCTTTCCTAAAATAAAGAAGAAAACACACTTGAGTTTTTGTAAAAGTGACATTGTGACCTTTGTCCTTGTGTAAACTGTTTATAGTTTCATATTTTTAACCAGTTTGTTTCCTCTTGAATGGTACGATATGGTTGTAAGCGTTTTATAAGTGCATGTGGTAAAGTTACAAGCACATTTGTGTTCTCCAAGAGTGCCTTAAGGCTTGTTTCTTCACTGACCCTCTGAAGTGGATCCACGTAGATCTTCGTGTAGAACAGCTGATCATCATCGTTATCATGAAGGTCCCACTGGTTCATAATCTTCTGTATGTATGGAGCATAGCCAATAAAGCCTGTGAAAGACATCGCATTGCTTGTTTTATGGACTGGCTGTGTTGTAAAAGAAAGTATAGGATGTAAAAGATATGTGTGAAGCGTTGACATTATGGGATGTTTGGACACAACAATTCCAATTATGCCTTTTCTGGGAATCTTAAATCTCACTCCCAATTATGGTGTGGTTCCTCAAACCCTCAAAACAGTGGGAAGTGTTGTGTGGCCACGTCTAACCTCACATGGCACAGACTTTCTACATCTACTCAGGACGGAGGACTCTGATCAGCATATGTGCTGGCTCTCTGTGTTTCTATAGTAACGTGTGTACGGATCTCTCATCATTTTCTTAAAGCTTTGACCACAGTTGAAAATTGTAGGGCTTGGTTCTCATGTTGGCCTCTGCCCAGTTTTAGATGTCATCATTCCACAGGAATTAGAAACTATTTTAAGTTACCGCCCTAGACGTTTTTAATTCCTAATAACCTTTTTCTATTGCCTACATTCATAGGATGATCTATTCAGAACACATCAAATTAATGTTCCCAATGGCTTTAATGGGAATCTGTACAGTCCTGTACAGAAGGCACCATCACACCTCAAATGATTTTACTGGAAATCGAGATCTTTCAATGAGTCACCAATCCGCTAGAATCCAGAAGAAGATAAACAAGGCAAGTTTCCAAGCAAATATGATTTACATGTCAGTTCATTCGCTAAATTAGCAGATATTCTTAGTCTGAAGGCGGTCACCTCAGATGTGGTGACATGAATCTTGTTTTATTACAGTGCAATAAAGTAAAACCCTTGACATAATGCCCAGGTTTGAAAGCAAAAGCTGAAGCCAGACGTAATGCATTATGACATGTGGTTTTCTTCTGGAATCCTGAATGTTTGTTTTGTTTTGTTTTCCCACAGATCAAATGAACTCTACCTTCAAGAAGCTTGAATTCTGGCAACATAAAGGGATGATCAGAAAGAGACGAGCTGTGCAATGCAGTCTTCCTTATTTCCACGAATGGACTGGTCAACATGACATTTCTGGTCCAACTGAAACAAAACAGTAGTCACCGCAATCTACGGAGCAGCCGAAGGGATAAAACCAACCTTCAATTTTGGATGAACGGGCAATCAAACGGGAAGTCCAACACAAACAAACTTGTCCTGTTAATGACACAGGCTCAACGCCCCGACAGGACACTACACAAAACGAAGTGACCACTGCAGTCAAAGCAGTAATTGACCAGACGAAAATAGAAAGAATCAGGACTACAAAGTTTATACGAGCAATGACCACAGGGCTTTTTTAGAACAGAGGGGCTGACGTTACTGTTCTTCAATGGACAATCTGAGAAAGATGGATGGATGCACACGTACACACACTCAAATGAATGCACCATTCATGAAGTCCCCTGTATGAATAGTCCACTATGCCTGGTGGCCCTCAGGAAATTCCACAGGGCGAGTGGCCGCCGCTTGGCAGTTTACACAGAAAACACTTTCTCTATCATATTATAAAGATAATGAAATTCCAATGTTTGCACTTCGCTCTCTATAATCACCCTCCTTGCATTGTTCTAAATCCTACCAGACTAAACAGACCCACACAGGAGCGTCCGGGGCAAACTGCGCTGTGATGATACGGCTGAATGACCTCATGTGCATAGTCTTCCGGTGATATTCTGCCTGAGTTGAATTCTTGAAGACTGACCCCGCAAACTCACAAGCAAAACATGCAAACATGTCTATAAATAACATGGGATGTATTACAAACAGAACTAGTTCTTGTGTTTTTAAATGTGCTCTTAAACCAGATTCAGGTAGCCTGTGATATACATGTCAACCGTTTAACTAACTTTCTAAGCAAAGTTATCTTTAAAGGGATAGTTCACTTTGAAATTAATTTTTGATATGTTTTAGCTTACCTCAAGGGCATCCAAGATGTAGGTGTCTTTGTTTCCGCAGTATTTTCAATTTCGATATTTTTTAGGTCAAACCTTGTCTGTCAGTCATATAATGGAGGTCTATGGTCACCTCCTCAAAGAGCATGCACAGAGAAGTCCAAATTAAACATGATTTAATGACTTGTAAATGTAAGTCCACATTGATGGCCTAAGACACGAAATGAGCGGTTTATATCGTTTTTACCTCTTGTAATCACAGTCACGTCCAAGTACTCTGAGGGCGCTTCTATCTGAGCAAACACGGAAAGCCCCGGAAGTGATCTCTCGCGCAAGTACGTCACTCATTGTTTACACAGAGATTTCAGAAGTATTATCCTTCACTGTGAAGATCTAAACATATTTAGATATACAGTAAATTGCAATGGAGGACGATTTCGATATATATCAACACAGACAACGTTTTTTTGTTGTTGTTTTTTTTCCGTAAGCGCAAGAGAGATCATTTCCGGCGCTTTCTAGTGCTTGAGCAGACTGAAGCGCCCATGCCTTCAGATCACTTGGACTTGGCTGTGGTTACAAGAGGTAAAAACGATATAAATACTGTTCGTTTTTTTCACACAAACCTCTCGTTTCGTGTCTTAGGCCATCAATGTGTACTTACATTTACGAGTCATTAAATCATGTTCAATTTCGACTTCTCTGTGCATGCTCTTTGAGGTGGACCCCATAGGCCTGTATTATATGACTGACAGACAAGAACGGTTTGACCTAAAACATATCAAAAATTAATTTCAAAGTGAACTATCCCTTTAACTGTTGCTGAAACATAACCCATTACACACTGGACTTTATACTGCCCTACAAAGGCAAAGCACAGTAACTATACATTTGGTCAAAAATGAGTTAAGACTTGTAATGGGCTTTATGGCATGTGTTCTGTCTTATGAAAAAATATCTGGGCTAAATTATGTCCCGTTTCGGAGATGCATTACCACATAATCTACCCATAACATGTTTGACTGGCTGGTATAAAAACTTTAAAGGCCTTTTTCGGTTTCTTTGTTTGCGTAGTTACTGCACTTTGCCTTTGTAGGGCAGTATAGCGCCCCTTGTGGTAACAGTGTGTTTGACACACGTTGATACATGAAAGCTAAAAACGTTTGTTCATCTACTTGAATGGTTTGATTTAGTCCTTACATTTGCAAAATGCAAAAAGTGTTTACAAAATGCTGATTAGTGAAAGTGAATATCTATAACACAACAAGAAAAGTATCATAAATATAAGATGTGTAAACAATGAATAAGTTACCAGATTGCCAGTAAAAGTGAGATGGTTCTCACTGCAGAACATGAAATCCACGGGGAGGAGTCGGATCCACCTTACATATACCTAAACCTACCCAGCTCCACCCCCTGATCCCTAAACCCACCCCTGAACCTACCCAACTCCACCCCTCAGATCTGGATCCGACTCCGCCCCCTGGATCTTGTGTACTGCAATGAGGCGCTACTGGTAAAAGTGCTTACATGCAGAAATTAGGGGAACCAGCCAAAAATGTGTGCCAATCAGATTTTGACCAGTTATATGCAAAAGTCTGTTTGTTTATACCAAAATTGGTGAGAAGCTCAATCATATTTATGAATTTAAAAAGATCATGCAATTGCAGCATTGTGATTGTGATAGTTGGAATTATGTCTGAAACACTATATTCAAGTTAACAGAAATGTTTCTAGATTGCATGTGTGGTTTCCATGTGTTTATGCCTTTTCCTTGAAAAATAATACTTATTAAGTCATTGACGTTACTTTGCATGACCTTTATTTGTTTATTTAGCATAATCAGTATAAGACAACTCATATAAATGCCCTCATTCTGTTTTGATAGAATATAAGAGCTTTAGAAATCCAATTGAAACAAACTGAAGGAATCTCAATAATACAATGGTTTTGAGCTCATCTGATAAACCATTATGAGTAACTATGAAGCAACTTTCCTATTTTCAAATCCTATAGGTATTTGTCATTCCCATTAGTACACACCTCCAGAGTTCAGAAAGCGTTTCCCACTCCGGACAGAAGGATACTTCTCTACCAGTTGAGAATCTGGCCAGATGATTCCCTCAGCAGCGAACGCCAGCTTATGATTGGTCTGCTGGAACTTTCTGAGAATCTCCTCAGGTCCACCCGCAAAGATGAGGTCATAACTAAAGAGGGATAAGAAGTAAATTGTTATGTTCACCAAGAGTCCCAACGGATCAGCGATTTTCACATTTAAGACATTATCAAGCAGTTGCACAAATTATGTTTGCTAATCCAGGTCCAGTTTATTTAATCAGCTGTGTCTATTTTCACTGAACTGCTGGAAGGGAGTGGACGGCATTGCTTAGACATTTTGGTCTTCTATTTCAGACGCTATTAATATGCCTGGTAACTATGTCATCAGAGGAAGTAAACTGTGAGGGAGGCACCATGGTTTCCTCTCATCTGGGGAACACCTGTGCACACAAATCATTTCCCTTTTTTTCTATCATGATTTAAAATGCATCTCTGGAATATGTGACACAGGTTTAATGTGTCAAAATGGTCTCAACTACACATAAAAGTAAAGGAAATTATACTGTTATAGGAACCCAGAACTCTGATTTGCTAACTACCGGTACTTTTCTAAATGTTTCGCTAATACACAAGGCTAGCTATTCACTAACGTGCGGCGCTGAATGTTATTCTAAACTTCTCTGAACTCTGAGCTGTTTAGGAGACCTACAAATATGTGTAATTCCAGATATGGGTGTGTATAAATAACTACTTCAGAGGTCAGAGAGTTCTGCAGTAAGGACTTGATTTGATTTGAGGTGATTTATAGATAAAACGGCACTGCACGTGGCAGGTAAGCTTTTTCTACTTTGTGATCATAATAATAATCGCTCACAATTCTGTAGAACACACCCAGGCCTGGACAGCGAAAAACAACAACTCTCGCCACACTTTCATTATAAATTGACATGCTGTAATTTCCCTTGAATGATGAAGTTAAATAACGTGCAATTTATTATGGTTAATTTCCATAAATTGAGCAAAACACCACCGTTTCTGCAAGAGCCTTGGTTTTAAAGGTATTGTTGAACACATTCCCGACCGTTTTGCCTTCAGACAGATTCTTGATGTTTCTCATTGAACTGGAAATGATACGGTAAGATTTCTCTTACCGAGGTGAGTGGAAAAGGATATGCATTTACACTTATGACACATTTGTTATAGTTGATGAAAAGCTACTATACGTTTAGCCAGTTATTTTGCCTTTATCTAGACTATGTATTTTGCTGGGCGTAATTTACTTTAAATTACAGGTAATTACTAAGTAAATAATTATGGTATATTGAGGCAAAGTAAGTAGTAAGCATTTCATGGCAGATTAGAGTCTATTCACAGCTAGTCCTCACATAGACAAATGGATATTGGAACCTTTTCTGTCTCTGGTATGTGGACCAGTATTTTTATGTCTAGTAAATCTGATACCATTTATGGGCCTTTCACACATGAATTGTTAACAAAGTTAGTTAATCCTTAACACTTAATCTTGGGCTGTCTTGCTTCATGTTTCAGATTGTTCATATTTTACCCAGTATTAATAGTTGCCATGCAATGCAGTTTAGGCTTGTCAAAGACTTCATAATGTATAGTCAAAAGCAGTGCTAAACCCACTTTCAAAATTCATTTTTTGTTTACTCAAGGTTAAATGTGTCTTTGACTACACTCTCAGAAAAAAAGGTACAAAAGCTGTCACTGGGGCTGTACCTTTTCAAAAGGTACACTTTGTACCCAAAGGCTGCATATTGGTACCTTAGTGGTACATATTAGCACCAAAAATGTACATATTAACACCTAAAATGTACATTTTAGTACCTAAAATGTACATATTAGCACCTGAAATGGACATATTAGCTCCTGAAATGTACATATTAACACTAAAAATCTACATATTAGCACCTAAAATGCACATATTAGCACCTAAAATGCACATATTATCATCTAAAATGTACACATTAACACCTAAAATGTACTTATTAGCACCTAAAATGTACAAATTAACACCTAAAATGTACATATTAGCACCTGAAATGTACATATTAGCACATGAAATGTACAAATTAGCACCTAAAATGTATTAACACTTAAAATGTACTTATTAGCACCTAAAATGTATATATTAGCACCTGAAATGTACATATTAGCACATAAAATGTCCATATTAGCACCTAGAAATGTACATATTAACACCTAAAATGTACATATTAGTACCTAAAATGTACATATTAGCACCTGAAATGTACATATTAGCACATAAAATGTTCATATTAGCACCTAAATTACTTATTAGCACCTAAAATGTACTTATTAGTACCTAAAATGTACATGTTAGCACCTGAAATGTACATATTAGCACATAAAATGTCCATATTAGCACATAAAATGTATTAACACTTAAAATGTACTTATTAGCACCAAAAATGTACATATTAGCACGTGAAATGTACATATTAGCACATAAAATGTCCATATTAGCACCTAAAATGTACATATTAGTACCTAAAATGTACATATTAGCACCTGAAATGGACATATTAGCTCCTGAAATGGACACACTAGCTCCTGAAATTGACATATTAGCTCCTGAAATGTACATATTAACACTAAAAATGTACATATTAGCACCTAAAATGCACATATTAGCACCTAAAATGCACATATTAACAACTAAACTGTACTTATTAGCACCTAAAATGTACATATTAACAACTAAAATGTACATATTAGCACCTGAAATGTACATATTAGCACCTAAAATTTACATATTAGCACATGAAATGTACATAGTAGCACCTAAAATGGACAAAAGTTTACCTTTTGAAAAGGTACAGCGCCAGTGACAGCTTTTGTAGCTTTTTGACAGTTTTTTCTGAGAGTGTAGTTTAAAAAATATATTAATAATAAATTAACCCACGATTTAGTGTAGTATTTTAACAATACATCAGCTGTACATCTTGGCTAATCTCAAACTTTTAAAGTTGTTAGTGTTCAAGTTCATGATGTAACATTGCTTACACTTTTGATAGTCCACTTTAGACATTCTACAAACTATAACTAACTTTGCAACTACATATCAACTAACATGTCATTAGAATATTAGTAGACTGTTAAGTTAAGGAAACAGTTAAAAGATTTTCAAAGTAGTCAGTTCTTTTCACCGTGCACGACTATCTGGGGATACATTCAGTTGCTGCTGTGTGGATGGATCGGCGACACTGGGTTTCACATTGCATGACTTTACAAAAGAAAGAATCGCAACAACTTCTATCAGGTCCGCAAACTACATTTCACAACCAAAAAAAGATTGCACGTGCGTGAGACTGAAATTGTTTATAAAAATGATAGCCCGCAAGAAGCTTGTGATCCCTTGCGGTTCTGTGTGCTGATTTGCAGCGAAAAGAAGAAAAAGAAAAACAGATTATGCAGGAGGAACTGGTTTGGGAGACACGGGGAGCAAGGATTGTGTGTTCTGCAAAGAGAGTTGGGGGTAAATAAATCATTTTGTAATGTGCTGCTGTTGCCGCTGGTCAAGTAGGCTAAATCTTTGGTATAATTGTAAATATATCTATTAAAATACTGATATTGTGGTCTATAACTCCTCCCCAAACATCCCGCTGCGCCGTATCTTGCTCTCTGATTGGCTGTAGGTCATCTCCGATGTAGTTTTTAGTCAGAACACAAACACACAGCAGGATTTTGAATCACCGACAGGTCCAGGTATTCAGCATGCTTAAAGGATTAGTTCACTTTTGAAAAAACTTTTGCTGATAATTTACTCACCCCCATGTCATCCAAGATGTCCATGTCTTTCTTTCCTCAGTCGAAAAGAAATTTAGGTTTTTGATGAAAACATTCCAGGATTTTTCTCCATATAATGGACTTCAATGGGAACTGGATGGTTCAGGTCCAAAAGATAGTGTTAATAACAGTTTCAGATGCAGCTTCAAATGTCTTTAAACGACACCAGACGATGAATAAGGGTCTTATCATGCGAAACGATCGGTTATTTCAATGCTTATTCCAAAAATGTAACTTTTATAAGGACAAATGCTAGCCTTTCTCCATTCTGTGAGGCGCGTTTGTAACGTCACGTAATACGTAATTACGTTCAAAAGGTCACGGGCGACGTAGCCAGAAGTACAGAGTCAGAGTGTTTACAAGTTGAACGCATAGGTTGAACGTGAAAACTAACTCAAACGCCGTTTACAAAAAAGGAATTAAAAGGTAAAACAACGATGTCGGACGATTTGAATTCTGTACTTCCGGCTACGTCGCCCGTGACCTTTTGAACGTAATTACGTATTACGTGACGTTACAAACGCGCCTCACAGAATAGAGCTCGGCTAGCATTTGTCCTTAGAAAAGTTACATTTTTGGAATAAGTTTTGAAATAACCGATCGTTTCGCATGATAAGACCCTTATTCATCTTCTGGTGTCGTTTAAAGACATTTGAAGCTGCATCTGAAACAGTTATTAACTGTCTTTTGGACCTTGAACCATCCGGTTCCCATTGAAGTCCATTATATGGAGAAAAATCCTGGAATGTTTTCATCAAAAACCTAAATTTCTTTTCGACTGAGGAAAGAAAGACATGGACATCTTGGATGACATGGGGGTGAGTAAATTATCAGCAAAAGTTTTTTTTTTAAAGTGAACTAATCCTTTAAGCATCTTCGATAATTCACACTGTGTGATTGCGTGAACGAGCAGTGATTTACCTATGATTTTGGACATTTGTCGGCAATCTCTCAAAACCTGTTCGAGGCTAAAAAACCTGAAAATCGAGGCTAAAATCATTCAAAGTTACCTATATTAGGTAGTCTGTTGGGGGACCATCAGTCTACTAATACTCTAATGACTGGTAGTTTACAAGGTCAGTTACAAGGTCACTTTTAGTTAATAAAAATGTCTAAAGTGGATTATCTTAGCCTGATAGCCAGACCATCTGAAAAGTTCTCAAAACCTGTACAAACTCATCAAACTACTAAAAGCAACCAGCTCCATGGCCAGGTAAATATGATCCAACTGTCTTTTTTTTTCAACAGGCAATTGACAAGCACACCTACCTGTCCACAAACAACACCACCAAGTCCTCTTGGTCAGCCAGAGACTCCATGGCTTCCTTCAGCAGTCGAACCTTTTGGCCTCCACCGATGGACCGTCCGACATCCCCACCTTTCCACTCCTCCCCCATCCCCAGCACCTGCATTCAGCATGTGTCAGTTCAAACAACAGCTCAGTCAACATACTACCATCACACCTTCATCTACCCGCATGCTGTGAACGAGTTTAAAAATGAAGCACCCAGGTGAGAAGCAGTGGTCTCGCATTGGGCCATTGTGTGTTTTTTTGTGTGAAATAAATCTCACCTTCACATTGAAGTTGAAGTAGTTTGCTGACTGCATGAAACGGTGGAAGCCATCCGTCTCCTCTGTTGCAACAGTGAGTACAAGCAGTTTTTCTGACGAAAGATAATCAAGAGAAGAAAAAAAGTTCGAAATGAAGAACAAATGTCTAGAAACTCTACAATTCCAGAGCTGTATTCCTTGAAAGCCTGAAGATATTTAGGCTTCATGAGGTTTCCCAAACCCCGCCATTCACTAAAAAGCCTCCTTACTAATATATATTTACACATATATGTTGCTTTGTGCCTACACTATGAAGTAGACGGTATCGTATTACTCCAAACCAAGCTACAACCAAACCTCAAACCTATGTCAACACTCGCAAGACTGATTCATCCCTTCCTCCTGTTAGGATAAATGCAGAGTAAAGTTAAAATCACCATGATTTGAATTAGTCTTGGCAGGATGTGTTCCATAATGTGTACAAGTGTTACATCTGATGGTGGTAACAGTGGTGCTGATGGTTAGCTGCAGAAGAAGGTCTTAAGTTTCTTAAGCACCCACTACATTTCCGCTGGACGCGCCAGTGAGCAGGTACAGACCCTCTAGTACAGCAGTGTGGGAAAATAAATTCCAGACTGGGGTGTGAAAGGCTGGGTAACTTCAATCGTCCGTCGGCTCATGGTTTGGAAAACAGCCCCAGAGAAATCTTAAGCAAACTTAAGAGTAAGGATGTGTGTACGTCAGCTCTAACTGTAGGGTTTACAACTGTACTCATCAAAAAAATGATAAGCATGTATAGAAAAAAAAAAAAAACACATGATTGTGTGGCATTGGAAAATAGCTTCGGTGCTTTGATTTACACTTAAAAGTGTTTTGTCACATGGTATTTGCGGTTCAGGTGATTGGCTTAAAAAACAAGTATACAGTGTCCATGAGCAAAGGTGGCATAATAGTTGTCTTTGTTGAATTACCTGGACTATATAGTGTCTTCACAAGTTTTGACCACTAAGAAAAACTGCACTTGAAATGGTTTCTCTACAGTAAAAACTAAGTTGGTGGTTTTCTAAATATCTCTGGTGAAAATCAAGTTGAATGAGAAGTCACAACTGGTCAGTGCCTCATTCATTTCGGAATGGGTCACGTTATTACACATTCAGCTGTAAAACGTTACGGCAGGAGCAGCAGGATTTCTCACCTCATAAAATGGCTCAACGGTGCAATTTCAGAATAGTGTTAGTACTCCATATGTGCTGAGCAAAGCATGGAAATGTAACATTAACTATGTTTTATACATTCCTATGTATTCCTTCTCTGATGATGTCAGTTTGACGGCTATTGAGGGTGTGCGTGTGACGTGTCCGTCGGCCGGAGTGCCTGCAGTTACGCTGCCTTCACACTGGCAGTTTAAATCAGCTCCGTAATACGCAATACGTTCCCAACGGACGTCGTACTACACAGTGAAAAGCGTCGGACGCGGGTAGAACAAAAATGGTGGAGAGATTAAAGTTTGATTGTGTCAGTTCTGTATGATCTCTCTGATTAGGGTTATGCTGCGTGAGGAAAGTTGCTCAGGACGTTGACATGTCAGGTCGGCTAAAAAATGTGATATAGTGGTCAATAGTTCAATGTCTACCTTCTAATTGCCCTTATAAACGTTAGAAAGTCATGAAAATAAAAAAAATGACATGACAACTTATCGTTATAAAATCGTTATTTATTATATTAAAAGTTAATAATTCAGGTTTGTTTATCAGTAGCAACGCTCAACTTCCGCTGGAATTGTCGGATAGGAACCGTCCGTAGCTTTTCGCAGGAGTTCAAATTTTTGAACGCATCCGGATGACCAACGGACACGATTTTCTTCGCACCGCACTCGGTCGGACCCGTTTCGGACCCGTTTCGGACCCATTCGTATGCGGTCTGCGAATCTCCATAGGAAATGAATGACTTCCGGTCGTTTCGCAGCCGCATCGGAGCTGATTTCAACTGCCAGTGTGAAGGTGGCGTTACTCACAGTGAGTGGCAAAAAGACTAAGCGGCTGAGAATGCCGCGAAAAACAAACACAACACATATAAAGTGGGAAAGAGCTTTGCGATTGACTGTACAACTATATTTGACAAAAAAATCGGAGGTATATTTTTACAGACTGCTATAGTAAGAGGAGCAAATGATTCGCTGCAATTCACAGAAACAACTAGATGTCAGCGAAAGGTGGATTTGCAGTTATCATTTTGTGTCAATATGCTGAATCTAGGTGAATAATAAATATATTATATATACACCAATAAATTTATTTTTTATTGTTATATATATTAACAACTCATCAATTAAATATTTATCATTGCATATTTTGCATTATTGGATGTTTTTTTAATAAACACTGACCAAAAAAAAAAAAAATATATATATATATATATATATATAAAGTTTTAGGGCTGGACGATATGATGATATACTGTATATAGGCTATATGTAACACTGATATAAGTGATTTAAACCTACCTATTATTGTATTTATATAAAGCGTTCACAGGCAAATTTGCTTTATGTTTACGTCTACATTGCTTTTATTTCCCCGGTGTCGAAATCAGGCAAACATAAATGTCAGGCAACACGATTCCTGGCTGCAGGTCAATATCCATGGATCACTGGATCTTTAGTAAGTTGTAAGGAACACTATATTGAGTCCAACAATTAGTTTAAATTGATAAAATTGTTTGTTTTAGTCGCATTTTCGCAGTTTCCCCAATTAAATCCAGTCACGCAGCAGATCTTTTGGCACTCAGTTTGCTCAATTACTCAATTGCATTTCCTCTATAAGACCATTGACCACATGCTTAGCCACTCGCCTCCAACCAAGAGGGTGAGGAGGTAAACTTATTATCAAACCTGAATCTCTATTTCTTCTCATTTCATATTAAATTTCTCTCCTAAGTCAGAATACCAAATTAAATTCGATTGCAATATATGGCTCATACTGACATTAAAAATCCAATGATTTCCATGTATTAAGAAGATAGCTTACTGAAAATAATCTATTTCTAAGCCCTTCTGAAATTTTCATACCTACATACCTTCATACTGAAACAATACCTACAGGATGAATGTGCAGTATTTTGTCCAACAGTTTTTTCTTCATCTTACCAAAGAATCTTAGAGAGTTGTTCCCAAGTCATTGTTGCTTTTGGGCATGCATTTTGGGTTCTTAACTCTTATCACCATTAATGGCTCGAATGGCTCGTGTACCATTGAGTGGAAATGAAACATATAGCTCTCCAGTGTTTCCCCTTGGATTTTGAACCTCCTAGTGTTGCGGAGCATGTATTTTTTTAGCAATCAAAAAGCATGTCTAATTAATTGAAATCATGTATTACGAACACGCTAACGCCCCCCCTAAAACAATGGTAGGGGAAACACTGCTCTCTACAGGTCTATTAGATCTATTGGATTAATTTTTTTTTCAGCTGTAGATTAGGGTGTGATGCTTTCTGTAGATTTGACCATATTAAAGCCAATGAGAGAAAATTCCACTGTCAGAAAATGTTAGAAAAAGAGCACAGATTCCATGGAAGCATAAAGTAAGAGCTTAGAAGAAAAGAGCCAAAATATTCTGAAGAACACAATACAATAGGTAGGGACTTCTCACGAAAAGGCTGAAAGCCCTGGAGACCATCACAAAGCAGGCTTCATTGCTCTTTTTGTTTGAACTGAACTATGATCCCTCCGATTCCCTTCTAAGTTCCAGACTGAAAGGCCTGGTTCCTCTCTCACATAAGCTATATGCTGTTCTATAAAATGCAGCAAATGTTTAATCTGGATGCTTAGACGGTAATGTTATATCCAACGTAAGGCCACTAGAGTAATGATGGGCACGCCATAAACGTCCAGGTCTCATTGAGCCTGAGAAAGCCCCTTTCTGAGAGCAGCTTGAGTTTAAAGTAACAGCTGGGGAAATCTATACAATGAAATTGTCTGGACTGCTGTTTCTGTTCAGTGGTTACGTCAACCTTAAACATGAGTCATGATAAAGAAAATATGAAGGGTCTTTAATCATTGTACACTCCCATGGGCAAGACAAAAATCTCTTTCAGTTGTTTCTCCTAGGCAGCAACAAGATTAAATTACAAATACTGACCAAATGGTGATGTGCATTTGAGGTTTTAGGGGGCTTCAGCATCTCCTAAGCTTAGTTTCAGAAAATATATGCTTAGATTTGCCAATATGCCAAGTCTTCTGTCTAAATCTCGATATGAACTACATTTGCAAATGTCTCCTTTGTATCTATTTTGATTTCTCTTCTGGGATTTTATGAGAATTATCTCAGTTATGTTGCTGTGAAGTGTCACTTTTGTCTAACATCTTAGAGATCTTAAAATCTTTAGAGCTTTGAGAGAGCAACCACAGAAAAATAACATTTTCATGTGGGATTTATAAATCGTGGATAAATGCTTGTTTAACCAAGATACACTGAGCTATGTATCTAGTTTGGGATCGACATCTAAATGTCATTATTTTCAGAATACGCCAACGTTTTTCATTCACGTATACTTCATGGTTTGCCAATACAGAAATGTATTACACCACTGGGACTGTGCCAGGAAGCATCTTTCAACGTTGTCTCCTTGTACTTACAATAATCCATGTCTGTGTATAATCAATCACAGCACAATATCTATCTGACTCTATTTCATTCTGGCTATGCACTTCTGAAAAGTCACACCAGAAAATAATTTGGAGGCTATTTCCCAGCATGTCTCAAAACATTTGCATAACAGATGGGCGATCGGGGGTGGATTGTTAGAGAATGTGAGTCGTATCCTTAGGCCAACAAATAAACACCAATTGCTTTGACCCACAAGTGACCTAACCTTCCCCTGATCCTTTAAAGACAACAGCAATAAACAAATGGGCACAGTAGCTGACAATGTGTACGCTAGCCACTGTCTTTCAACGTGCCATGCTAGAGAGATTGAGGGCTGGATCACAAGCCCAGCTCACCAATCTTAGAGACAATCAGTTGCCATTGCCAAAACATATAAAGTACACACAACAAGTATGTGATGACGCAATTTCTGCCGTAATGGTCGAACAGCGCCGTCTGCAATGATATGA